CGCAGCATTTAAATTTTATTTTGATGAGATTATTCGACCGAAACTTAAGAAAGGACTAAGTTGCTTTGAATTGCATCTCCAGCAACAAGAACCAGATTCAAAGTTGATTAAAAATGCAATCATAACCGAAGCTGAGGTTGAAAAATGCAAGAAACAAAGCCCAATTGACGAATTAAAGGAAGTAGAAAATGGTTTAGAAGATGTTATTGGACCTTTAAATGTTTTTTCATGCGGAGCTGTGACCAGTGTTGATGACTATGTTCTGTTTGTTACTAAAGGCGTGTTGATAAAGTTTGGTGAAAGCAGTGAGGCAGTTAAGAAAGCTGAGATGGAGAAACTGAAGGAATATTTGAAGGATATCGCATTTACAACTGCTGAATGTATTTTCAGGCGTTTTGAGACGGATCCGAAAGGTACTTGGTTTATATTTGTAGGTTATGTTGCCTAATTTTGAGGTTATAAGTCCGAAAGTTGAGGTTATGTTGCCAGATTTTGGAGTTATGTTGCCTAAATTTGAGATTGTGTTGCCAGATTTTAAGGTTGTGTTGCCTTATTTTGAGGTTATCTTGCCTAAATTTGAGGTTATGTTGCCAGATTTTGAGGTTATGTTGCCTAATTTTAAGCTTATGTTGCCAGATTTTAAGGTTATGTTACCTAAATTTGAGGTTATGTTGCCAGATTTTGAGGTTATGTTGCCTAAATATGATTTATAATTGAGTATTTAATTGAGATTTATAATTTGATTTATTTATCAATCATTTTCTTCCTCAGTTTTCCTAATCAACGACACTTTAAACAGCTACTTCAATCGATTCACAAACCCAGCAGAATTTAAGGACGATCCTGAACTTCACACGTCAAATGAAATCATTGAAAAAGTAATCAAAAGCGTCAACCTCAACTGCATTAAGCAATAGTTAAATATACCCGAAAATGGAGATTTAACACTTCTAGAAGTCGAAGTAACAATTCTGCTAGGATCAGCAATATCAAAGTGCATCAAAATCAGTCAGTATGACTTTGCAAATCTTTTATTAGATTATGGATTCGATGAGGATACCAAGTCAGAGGAAAATGTCTATTGTGCAAAGTTTAACCTACAAAAACTTGAGTCTGATTCGAAAATTGCTAAAATTTCAGTCATCAAGTCTGAAATCGAGAACAGATGCGAATATTACTCAATAATATCAGTTTATCCATTTACTAGCACTGTCCAAATGTATCAAGTTCTCGTTGGTGAATTACAGGACACAACATGTGGATCTATATCTCAGCAATTTATGAAGATCCTTGCATATAAGTCACTTTTGATAGCTGTTGAGGAGGACCAGGAACTGAAGAAAATAGAAATTGAGGATCTTTATGCTAATGTTGAAGAGAAATTGTCTCAATTTGCTGATTGCGTTCTTCAGCGTGTCAAATTAAATATTATTTGATGTAGTTTAATCGTTGGAACTTCCAATAAAGTGAAATAAAATTTGATTAAAAATTTGAGGATTTTTTTTGTAAATTTGAGGTTATATTGATCCAAAATCAGAGTTAAGGTTACTAAATGTTATGTTAGATTCCACAAAAAAGAGGCTTATAACAACAATATTAAGGTTAGAAACAACAATATTGAGGTTAGAAACCTCAAAAATGAGGTTAGGAACCTTAATTGTAAGGTTAAGAACCACAAAAGTAAGGTTTCGAGTTGAACAAAAATCAATGACTCCCAATTTTCACTCATTTATAGATGAGCATACTCAAAAAATTCGCTTTAAAGTCTACAAAAATTTTAAAATATTTTCTCAGTCTCACTTTTACTTCCAAAGTTATCACAATGAAGCACATTATCAGGCTAATTTTTACTACAGTCTTGCTAATCTCAGTAATTCACGGTTTTGAAAGTAAAGATGGGGTCATAAAAAGCAGATTAAGTCACATAGTTCAAAAATTACCGTCAATTATCAAAGAACATTATAGAGCATCAACACGTAGTGTAGACATGAACTGCGTCAGGAACTTATTTGAACTCCCACAAAATGAAAATATAATTTTAAAGGAACCGGAAACAACAATTTTTGTGACTGCAGCTCTCTTAAAATGTTGGGATGATGAGAAAGTATTTGAGAGATATTTTGATGCAATTGCTCATATTTATATGAAAGACTACCTCCTCTGTATGAAATGGCATCTAAAGCAACTCGAACCAGACTCAATTTTACTTGATAATTTCAAAAGCAGTCAATATGAGCCAGGCGATTGCAAAAACATTTTTGATTTTCCTTACAAAGGCATTCTACAGAAGCATGAGAAGACTGTCGGACCAGTAGACGTGTTTTCATGTGGAACAGTCTCTGGAATGAATGATTTTATGAGATTTGCTGTTAAATTGGTTTTGGCTAAGTATGGGGAGTTCGATAATGAGGTTAAGGAAGCTGAGATGAAGAAGCTGAAGGAATATTTCAAGGATATTACTTTGAAGACTTGTTATTGCATCATTCAGCGGTTTAGGAGCGACCCTGAAGGTAGGTTTATACTTTTGGATGGAATCTGTGATAAAAAAGCTTGTGTGAAGGCACCTTAATCTCAAAAAAAGTTTAAGGGTTGTCTTGGTCAACTTTGAGGTTATGTTGGTCAATTTTAAGGTTATGTCGGTCAATTTTGAGGTTGCCTCTAAATTTTGATTATGTTTTAAATTTTGGTGTTATGTTTTTAAACTTTGTGGTTATGTTTTAAACTTTGAGGTTATGTTTTTAAACTTTGAGGTTATGTTTTTAAACTTTGAGGTTATGTTTTAAACTTTGAGGTTATGTTATTTTGAGTTCATACTTACTTTTTGTCTCTAAATTCATCCTCAGCTCATCAACGGAACGACACCTTGATCTTTTACTTAACACAACCGATATCATATATTCCAAACTTGCCTAGTTCCCTTTATGATGAGGAATACATCAAGGAATACATTGAAAATGGCAAACAAATGGAAGAAGCAATCGACTTTGACTGCGTCAACCAGAAGCTCAACATCTTAAAAAATGAAAGAAAAACTGTTCTTGAAGTTGAAGCTACAATCCTTATCGCATCAGCAAAGTTAAGGTGTCTTAAAATTCCTTTAATTAATTTTTCAAAACTCTTCCTTAACTTTGCCGTCCTCAAGCATCAAAGATCTGAAGAAACTATCTCGTGTGCCAGACATTTACTGAAACAAGTTGAACCTACCTCAAAGCTTCTAATCAGCAGCAATCATGTCTACAATGATGACAACTCTAGCTGCTATATAACATTTAAACTCTACACTGACTTGGCTAAGGACTATAAAAATTATGTTGGTGATTTAAAGGACTCATCTTGCGGAGCTATAACTGATCAATTTGTTAAAATACTCACTTTAAAGACTTTGCTGCTAATTGCTCAAAAAGACGAGGAAGTCAAAAAGATTGAGGCTAAGGAATTATTTACAGTTGCTAGTGATAAATTGCATAAACTTGTTCAATGTGTTTTTCAAAGTTTGAGCTAAAATAGAATTTTATTAGACGGGGGATCAACGTGATGGGAAAAGATTGTGGCTAAAAACTAAACTGAAACTAAGCTAAACTTTTTGAATTAATAAAATCATTGAATTGTTTATTTTTTTTATAAAATATAAGATTTTTTTGAAATTTGAGGTTAGGTTCCAAAACAAGTAAGTGCACTGAGTTGCGATTTATTCCATTAATTCAAATAAATCCACCCAGACAACCTTGAAGTGCTCCATTTAGTCAGCAAAAACTGCACTTCTTTCCCCCATCGTAAAATATTCTCAGACATAATAAAATGCTAAGCGTTTCAGACTGACTGTCGTCTCAAAAGTCAATAAAACAAAATTAATTTCACACATGAATCAATAATCTTATCAGCACATCAAACAGAAAAAAAGCAGTCGAGTATTAAAAGGCTTACAATGTCGAAGGTTTGAGTCAAAACAATTTCTAGTTTGTGCTTGATTTTTTGAACTTGAGATTTTGTTATTATAAATTGAATGTGAGGAGATTGTATTTAAAGAACTTAACCTGGAGCCTAACCTAAGTTTTGTGAAACCTCACCTGACTTTTGTGGAATATAACCTCACTTTTGTGAAACCTAACCTCACTTTTGTGAAACCGAACCTGACTTTTTGTGAAACTTAACCTCAATTTTGTTGAACCGAACCTGACTTTTGTGGAACCTAACCTCACTTTTATGGAACCTCACCTGACTTTTGTGGAACCGAACCTGACTTTTGTGAAACTTAACCTCACTTTTATGAAACATAACCTCACTTTTGTGGAACCTAACCTGACTTTTGTGAAACCTCACCTGACTTTTGTGAAACTTAACCTCACTTTTGTGGAACCGAACCTGACTTTTGTGGAACCTAACCTCACTTTTGTGAAACATAACCTCACTTTTGTGAAACCTCACCTGACTCTTGTGAATACAAATTACAATTTTTTTCGATTTTTGAACAACCTAACCTTACTTTTGGTTAACATAACCTCGAAATTTTCACAAACTTGCACAAATCCTTCAAGAACCATCAAAAAAAATCATCAAAACAAAAACAATCCTTCAGACAACACTTCGCCAAGGACAGTTCACTTAGTAAATTAATGCCAGATTAAATAATCAGCAAAGAAATTTTTTTTTCCACTTAAAAAAAGTGTGTCTGTAGGAAGTAAGACTTAAGAGATTTATTGATATTTACTTCAAGGTTTGTTAATTAAATTGTGATTATAAACAAAACACTCAAGCTGTTGATGATGTCAGAAAAGGTTCTTAGTGAACGAAATGGAAGTGCTTGTTTGGTTTTTAGGTTAATTTTTGAAGGTCTAAATCAGTGATGGTTAACTGATCAGTGACTTGATAGTAATCCACGATCAAAACCGCACACAACATACGGTTCGAGGGATATCGATAAAAATTCATAGTGCCGCGGCACACAGGTTATCCTTCACTGGTTTAAGGAGAAGATTTTAGAGATGAGGCTATGCTGAATCGCTAGTATTTATTAGAACTTAATACTTATACACTAAACATAATTAAATTAGCATCTTTGGACACAAGTTAATTAACCGAGAATTTACAATTACTACAAATTATGTTTAATCCATTTTAGCAAATTGAAAATATTTGTATAAGCGCCAGGAACATCTTTAAGTCCACAGTCTAAACCCCATGATACCAAGCCTGCCAATATGTATGAATCTGAATCTGGTCTTTTGCAAACCAATGGAGAACCTCCGTCATTATTGCAAGCATCAAGTCCCTCTTCTCCGCCAGCACAAACAAAACTTTCATGTAATCTAAATCGAGGACCCAAACGGAAGTCACGGAACTGCTTTTGACATTTTGAATGATCAACAATTGGAACTCGAACGAACTTTAAGCGATCAGTTGTTGGAGAGTTTTGTGCTGTCTTGCCCCAAGCTGTTACTATACATCTAGTTCCAGTTGGTATAATTTCATTTTCTTCAGGCAGACACAGTGGCTGAACATTAAGTTCTAGTTTTAATGGACTATTCCATTTAAGTATTGCAATGTCATTGTATAGACCACCAGCATAATATTGTGGATGTGCGATAATTTTGGACACTGATCGATCTTGATGTGGTAAATATTCTAAGGCTGAACTTCTGTCCCATTCGCCAGCCTTGATTTGAAAGTTTGATGGAACTTTACTTTTCAGACAATGATTTGCTGTCAATGCTGTCGTTGGATTTACCAAAACAGCACCACATTTATATTCGAAAACTCTAGTCTTTTGATTAATTTTTAAAAGCTCAATCATCCATGGATATTCCGCAAACGTTGTTTCTCCAACTTGATCATGCTCATCACCTTCTTCAGCCTCGTCATCGATTAAAATTCTCTCTTGCAATCGCTTTCCTTTCTTTGAGATACATTGTAGATTCGATGCAGGCTTGACTGTTGTTGGCTTAAAGTCTGTCGATTCGACAGGTCTCAGGATTGTGCTTATTAAATTCGTAATATTTGAAATGTTGAAATTTAAGAAATTTCTCTGAGTTGTTGTTGTAATTTTTTGAGGAATTGGCTTTGATGTGCTTTTTTGGAGACGACAGCAAATATTTCCAGTGCCACATAAATTGAATGATCTAAAAGAGAATTAACGGTTAAATATTATTTAAATTTATTTTTTTTTCTTAACGGCTTTGAAATATTTGAAAAATTTACACAGTGATTCAAAAAAGCTTCGAAAATAAGAAAAAAGTTGAACAGTCAGATGCTTTAAAAAAGCTATTTAAAAGCTCTAATCCAGTGGTGTCCAACCTTTTTGTACCACGACACACTTAGTTTGACCAAAACCGCATACGACATACGGTTCGTGGGATTTGTAGAATTCTTTTCTTGGCTCTCTAGTGTGTCATGGCACACAGGTTAGTCATCACTGCTTTATTCTATTGAATCTGAAGCTTCAAAAGAAACATATGCACTTAATTAGTTGTTAGGATCAGTTTTCGAAGTTGGTAAAGGGGGAGTTGGGAGGGTTTTCGAAGATTTTGTAACAGCTTAAAAAAACACATGTTTTCAATATATAATTTATAACAGCAGGGGGAAAGGGTGTTGGGTAGCTCTCAAAACGAAATAAATGAACGAGCCCAACGTATTTCAAAATCAACAGTAGCTGTCAGAAAAGAAATCGGAAGTCAAGGAATTCACGCGAGAGTTTATCGATCACCGGCAAAATTGAGGAAGTGAGTAGAATTTTTCAGAATTTATGAATGACGATCGACAGTTTGAGGTCATTACAGATGCTACAGGCTATGCGTTGTAGATTCAAAATTCTATTTATCATGGTAGCATTTTAAGAAGCAATGCAGGTTCTTTCTTAGAAGATGCGATATGGTGAATAAAGGGCGAAGTCAGGAATGTAAGGGATGGGGGGTCAAAAAATGTTTGATACGGAAATGGGGGGGAGGGGGGGAGGTCAAAAATTGTTTTGTACGGAAGGGGGCAAAAATAGTTTGGTACGGAAAATGGGGGGGAAGGGGAAGAGGGGGTGGGTAATCAAAAATTTTTTGGTTCGGAAGAGGGGGTCAAAAATTGTTTGGTACGGAAGGGGGAGGGGCAAAAATAGTTTGGCACTGAAACGGGGAGGGGGGCAAAACAGTTTGGTACGGAAATGGGAGGGAGAGAAGGTTGGGGGTCAAAAATTGTTTGGTACGAAAGGGGGGGGGGGAAGGAGGGTCAAAAATTGTTTGGTACGGAAGGTGGGGGGGGGGGTCAAAAATTGTATGGTACGGAAGGATGGGGGGAAAATAAGAACCCTGTTGACGTAGGTACAGGCACGTAGCAAGAGGAGTTTTTGGGGTCGATATGTCCTCCCCCACTCCACTTTGCCCCCACCTCCATTTTGATCTTTTTTGAGCTTTTTTAACCGAACCAATTAAATTCCTGTGACCGATTAGTCCTCCAAATGCCCTCTCCCTGGCAACGCGCCTGTGATGAATAGAGGAAACCAGTGATAAGAGCATCATGATTATTGACTGACAAGGCAAGCAACATAATGAGAACCTGTAATGATCTTCGAATATTCTTTAAGTCTACGGAATCACCATGAGATGCTGATATCTCAACGAAAGTTAAATAAATCGATGCAAATTAATAATATTGTTGATTACCTTTCATCGATCAATCCATTGCCATCCGTAATTAGCGTATTATTGCTATTGCACAGGTTTTTCGGAACACACACACAGTCTGGCTCATTATCGTATTTATATTCAGCATGATTATCCTCATTTTCATGAGAATCTCTGTCATAAAGTGACACTGCCTTCTTTGTAGTCACTTCTTCTTTTTCATGTCGATAACGCGGCGGCAATGTCCTAATTTTTGCTGATGATTCTTTCAAGCTACGCGATTGCGACGCACTATTTACTAAGTCCTTGTTCTTCCACCAAAAATTTCCACTTTCTTGACATTGTGCTTCTAATGTCAACATAAATAGCAACACAATTATTTTCATATTTTTATGAGATTTTCACTGATAGACGAACTTTTTTCAAATGACTTGCTTGAATGAGTAAACAGCATATTTTATATGCAAGCTATGAGAAAATGTTCTGAAGGTCCTGAGTCTCTCTCAGTCTTTAAGAAAATAATAATAAATCGAAGCAGGCAAGAGAAGAGAACTGAATGAGTTAATGACCATGCTAACAATTTTGTTTCCGATTATTTTGAATTTATATCTCAAAACTTGATCACTTTGGAGCCAGTTTCTAAAGTTTTACTTTGAAGTATGAACAACTTAGGGGTTATTTGGAAGTTAGGTCACGATGTAAGGTGGTGGGAGGGAGAAGGACCTAGAAGGGGAAGGAGGGTGAAGGATGAAAGGAGTAAGTTAGGTCACGCTGCAAGAAGGTGGGAGAAAGAAGGATCTAGGAGGGAAAGTAGGGTGAAGGGTGAAGAAGGGGGTCGAAAAAGGTAGAAGAAAATTCTTTATTTTACTTTGGGAGTTGAACAACTTAGGGGTTATTCGTAAGTTAGGTTATCTTGAAAGGTGGTGAAGAAAGAAGGATCAGGAGAGGAAATATGGAGGGGGGGAGGATGGAGTGGGGAAGGGTAAAGGGGGGACAGATAAAGAAGGAAGGGGTCGTATAAAGATGGGGGAAGGATGGAGTGGGAAAGACAGGAGGGGGGAAAAATGAGTGGGGGAATGATGAAGGGAGGGCAGTTTTGAAGGAAGGGGGGGGGCAGTTTTGAAGGAAGGGAAAGGGGGGGAATTATGAAGGAAGGGGTCGTGTAAGGAGATTTTGCGACAGTTCAAACAAAAATACAAAATAATTTACACACAAGGAAGGTAGGGGAGATCAAATAAGTCATTTTATTTTGTGACATACTTTACGAATGTCCCTTCAAATTTCTAATATAGCAACAAAATATGCGCATTCAAAACAATAAATCGATTTCCAATCATTTTTTTACTTCTTCAGCTATTCTCTCTTCTCGTTGTTTCTTGTCTAAGGTCAGGGAATTCCCTTCTTCCACACACATACGTTATTTTTGATTCCGGATGCAATTTTTCTTATTTAGCTCATCATCTAGTCATGCCGTTGCATTTAGAAGTGTGCATAGATTATTCAAAGAAATTATGTGAATCACTGCAGACTTAGTAAACATGCCATGACTTCCAAGACAGGAAATAAACCAGGTGCCGGTTTTCTAGGGCAACACAAGCAACCCCAGCCCTTCTTTTATTTATATTTCATATTAGATTCCATCGAACTACATTTTTGCTCTAGGGTGCCCTGGGTAGACCTAGAAACCAGCCTAGTGATTAAGTCATAAATTAAGGTTCCGACCAATGTTAAAAATAAGAGAATTTGCCAGTCAAAAAGCGCAAAAAAAGTCATTGACTGAATGTAAGGCAACTCGATCACGTACATATTTAAAGACAATATTTTTTATTATTAATCAACGACATTTATTTACGATTTGATATTCATTCAATAACTTAAGCATATGACGCGAAATTTTTTTATTGAAATGAAGAATTAAAGAAAAACAAAATGTTCCGCATATAGTTTGAATGAATCACAATTTCAATGTTAAGGTTGATGGACTTTCCGAAAAGTATTTTTTTTTTCAACTAAATAGTAAACATTTGCGATCGATTACATCTAGCATGGGAATTTCCCCAATAGAATTGAATCTTGTGCGTGCGTTTATTATGCTAGATTATTAAATTATGCAGCATGAATGCTATAGTCAACAGGATTTGTTGTTGGCAGCTTGCGAACGCTTGAAATTTGTGTTTTACGCTCTAATGTCAATTGAGTGACATGTCAAAGTCTAAAATTCCTTGCATGAATGACACAAGTCGGTTAATCAAACTGAAATCCGACACAAAGCTAGTGCGACTCTGGCAGGATTTAAATCGAAGCCAGCACTATACCAGAATCATGCAGGCTGTGCGTCGGATTTCTATTTTGTGCCATTTGGGTTGACGAATGAGATTTTTCCATCCTGGCTGATCTTAAATGACTAAATACTTGAACTAGCTATTTTAATACTGAACGCTATGTCAAAAATGCTTAATATTTTTTTTTATTAATTATATAAGAATGTCATCGATTAACAATGTTGAAAAAATATTATAAGAAATAAATCAATATCAAAAAAAAATAATAATACAAAAATTAATGAATAAATGAATGATGATGATGAATGATAGCTACATCAGGGGTCCGTAAAGAGTCTGAGCTTTATTTTCACGTATTCTTAAAATTCGACAGGTAATGTCTTGATGCGCTTCTCTTCTTAGCTACACAAACTGTAAATTATTTGATTATTATTTAAATTATTGTCTAATAAACTGCATTACTGAATTATTCTGATATCCAGACTAAGTCAACTTAGGGCATGGAATATTGAATAATGATCAAATGCAGTGGTGCAAAACCTTTATTGTGGCACGGCACATCTTGATGGTAAGCCATGGCCAAAACCACATATGGCATATGGTTTGTGGGATTTTCTGAATTCTTTATAGCATAATAGTGTGCCGCGGCACATGGGTTGGCCATCACTGATCTAATACAGTGGCTCGAAAAAAATACAGGAAAATCCAACGAATTATACAACGTGTGCGGTTCCTGTCATAGCTTACCACCAAGGTGTGCCGTGATACAAAAAAGGTTGGACACCACTGACTCTAATGTGATCTTAACTGCCATAGGTCTGGTCAAATTAATAAAATTATTAGTATTTGGGTAAAATGTTATTTCGAACTGAATTTTAATGAATTTTTTTGGGTTAAGTCATGGATTCTTTTGTGGAATGTATCTCTAGGGAGTACATCTAAAGGTCCTAAACCGTAACGAACCTCAAAAAAATTCAAACCTAATCAAAATCTGCGAGGAAAATTCCAATAAAAAAAATTAATACTTTTTTTTTCATAAATTTTTGTAAAACTTCATTGAACCCCGCTAAAAAGTCATCAACCCCTCCCCCCCTTATTTTCAAACAAGTCCCCCTACATAAAATTTTCAATCTAGCTACTCCCTTAGCTGAACATAATTAGCTGGAAACAGTCCATAAGTGTAAGTCTTTGCATGCAATCCCTTCCACCATCCAGCATCAATCATATCGATATGTGTAATTAAGTCATCCGGATCGAATGAAATTTCATCATCAGCAGCTGCTTGATAGTCATAAAGTGCGATAGCTGTAACGCCAGGATTTTCTGGTGACAGTACAAATTGTTCCTCGACTTCCTCAACCTGTCCATTGTCATTTTTAAGCTGCTCGATCAATTCTTGTTCACTTATCACTTCTTGTTGCTGTTGTGGAAGTTGCACTTGGTGTTGGTAGTCATTCGTAGGACTTTCTTGGTGCTGTTGGATGTTTTCGTAGATTTGGTGTTGCTGAGGGACATCTTCATAAAAGTGGTGTTGGTCAGGTGCTTCTTCATGGATTTGTTGGTGCTCTTGGACTACCTGTTGCTGCTCTTCATAAGCTTGGTGCTGTTCATAAACTTGTGGCTGTTCTTTGTTCAATCGTTGAGGTTCTTCATGCACTTGCTGGGGTTCCTCATGTACTTGCTGTTGTTCCTGAATCTCATGATGTTGTTCCTGAATCTCTTGATGCACCTGAATCACTTCCTCTTGTTTCTGTGCCTTAATCTCATGAACCTTTGGAGTCTCTTCAACTTTCTCCTGAATTTGAACACTTTTGGTGAATTGTTGAGCTATTTTAGATACTGGTGTGTGTTCTGGCATGTCTACATGCTTCTCAGTACTGGAAATGATGTCTGGCTTGACGATCTCGACTGGTTGTTTGTCCTCTTTGGGGAGTTTGATTGGCTGCTTCTAAAAAAATTTAGGGAATTCAGGTTTTAGTGATCCATTAATGGTGTGAATGATTTATCTAATAGCTACACAATCAGATAGCTACTCAACCAGCAAGAAAGCAAGCTAACCAGTCAGTAAACTAGAAAACCAGCCAGCCAGCCACACAGCTATTAAGCAAGCAAGCAAAATGACAAAATATCCCAAATTATACTCACAAGTGCCGGTTTATATTCATCAGTTGGTGCTGGTGCATTAAATACATTAATAACATCACTAATTCTCTCATTACGTCCAGTCACAATTGCTTTTCGTTGTGGCTTGTGTCTTGATGGCTCCTCATTGGTGACCTACAAAGAAATTGATCATTAGCTTTGCTTTTGGCTATTCATGAATTTTATCAAAAATATTAGACATCATTTATGAACGAATGCTGTCTATGGATCATGTGCTCTGATTAATGCAGCAATAACCAGATGGGTCAGTGATCCAGTAATAAAAATTAGTGAATCATAGCCTTCATGCTGAATAATTATGAGATAATGTGTACAATTTTTATGTTTTGATGATGATTCGCAAAGATGAGGAATCAAGGCAATAAAAATTGAGTGACTTGATAAGCCACAGTCGGGATGTGAAGGTTTCCGGTTTAACTTAATGACACCGATTCCACATTCAACAAAATACAATTAATTTTACTGAAAGTTTTAAGTCTGACAGATTTAAATTCAAAGCATTTGATGGGGCAACCATGACATGGACTTCATCTTCATGTACAACTCGGGTTCCTGACCATCTAAAACATCAAAAATCACTTACAAAGTCCTTCTCCTTCGATGCCTGCTCCTTATCCTTCATATCCTTCTCCTCCCGTAACTTCTTCTGCATTGCTGCCCGTTGCTTCGTCTCCTCATCATTAAATGACGAAATATTCTCAAATCTCGACTTTAAGTTTGATGGCTTTGCTCCCATAATATCAGGCTTCGTTCGCTGATAATTAGTTCCAACTTTATCAACTTGCTCTTGGAATGTGTGAGCTGATTTGTCCATTCGATCGGATTCGACACCAAATTTACCTCCAAATCCTTTCTTGTAATCAGCTTGACTGTCGTGCTTCTCAACTTTACCGACATAGTCAAATCCAACAGCTGACTTGTCCATCCTGTCTTTATCAACACCAAATTTACCTCCAAATCCTGTCACATAGTCTTTTTGTGAAGCATGCTTCTCGACTTTACCGACGTAGTCATGACCGAGAGCTGATTTGTCCATTCTGTCCTTTTCGACACCGAATTTGCCACCGTAGCCTGGAATAATTGGGTTTATATTGATTAATTTGGTGGTTTATGAGGATTTGGGGGGTTCAAGGGGGTTCAATGGGGTTCAATTAGGGTTTATGAAGCTTTGAAGGATTTAAAGGCTATAAAACCAAGATTTAAATTGTTTAAATGGCTCAGAACAGCTCACAACAGTTAAATAGATCGGTTACCACATAATCCACACCATCTCATCCTTACCATGCCTTCCAGTCAATCCCGTATCCTCAACAAGCTTCTTCTTCTTATCATCGTCCGCCTTCTCAGTCTCTTCAATCAACTGCTGCATACTAAAAGAAGAAATAGTCATTAAAAATTCATAAATTTAATTTAATTGTGTGAAGAAAAAAAGTTTCCATCATACTTGATTGCAGCACCACGATCAGCACTCGTGCCCCATCGTTGCTCTTCTTCAGTTGCTTTGTTCTCGAAGTTTGGGTCCGTTTCCCAGTCATCTGAATTTTTGATTGAATATTTAATGGAAATTGTGATTTTTTGAGGAGTTTGACTCACCATCGAAAGACATTTTGAGGTACTTTTGGGATTACGACACTTAGGACTGGATGATGAATGAATTAAGCAACGTTTGGTGCTGAAATTTATAGAATTGGGAGCGGCTTAAATTTTTTTTGATGATTAACACGAACTTTTTTTTTGTTATCTTTTTCGTTCTGGCCCTTGTGAAATTGAGTGCTTTTAGTGGTCACACGCTGAAAGTATACGTGATTTTTGGAAGTATACTTAAAGTTGATGTTTTGATGCTTTTGTTATTGTTTTTGATATTTTCTGGAATTTTTGATGTTTTTTTGCACTTTTGATGTTTTATTGGATGTTTTGGCATTTTTATTGGATGTTTTGGCATTTTTGTAATGTTTTATTATTGTTTTTGGTCGATTCTTATTGGATTCTCAATATTTTGTTTGATCCTGACTGATCAGGATGAATGTTTTTCAAGAATATTCAATGTTTTGGTGATGTTTTTAATGTTTTTATATTGATTAACAGTTAAGAATCTGTTAAAATGTGCTCAATCTGTCAGTGGCGATAACAAAGTTTCAGTTTTAGTGTTAAAAAATTTAAAATAAAATTTTAACCGTGTCAAAAATTTCAAAAGCTGCAATGGAGCCTCCAAAAATACAACAACGATCCTCAACATCATCCAAAATATCTGAAAATCTAGCAATTTTAAAGGAATTAAATATAAAAATGGAAGCCGATGATCAATTTAATGGACAAGCATTGCTAGACTACAACATATCAAGTCCATGTCCATCTCAAATGACGCAGCATGTCAACTATAATTTAAACTCCAACCCTGTAAATCCTCAAATGTTAAGGCCTAATTATAGAAATTATCACAACAATCCCATGCCAATTGGCAACCTGCAGCATCCAGAATCGCAAAATATCCAACCCGAATCTCATCAAAATGGAGCTGTACCCACAATAAGATCAAGATTGTTAGCTATTCGACAATCCTTAGGTAAAATCAAAAGAGAAGATGAAATAGAACCAAAAGATCCTGATTGTATGAGCAATAGCAGATTCAGTCACGCATCTAACCAACTTCCAGCCAGAGTCTATTCACCTCATGAAAACATTCAAAATTATAACCCCAACACAGTCTTTAATCCTTTGGAATATTCTGGAAGTTCAATGATGAGACCAGCGAGTGTGATTAATCAATATCCTCCTACATATCCACGTCTATATCCACGCCCATATCTCAATCCATATCCATTAAATCGATTACAAATGCATCATTCAAACATACAGCATCAAGCATCTCACTTTATTGTCCCAACTTCAAATTCATTTGTTCGTGCGACCTCAGCCGGTGCTCAAAGTCATCAGTTTAGTAGCAACTTGAATTCAGTGCATACTTTTAGCTCACATGCGATTCCTCAGACTATAACAAGTAACAATCTTAATGAAATAGCCATGAATTCACGAGAATCTGAGATTATTGATCTTACTGAGTCAGATGGTGGAGCGATGGAAGAAAGAAGGTCGAATTTGGCAAGATTTCAACCTAATTTTAGAGGAACAACATCTAATGGAATGTCAATGAGGACAGTAAATGTGCTGCCAAATCAAGAACAGCATAACAGAAGAGTCATTATTTATCCAGCAGCTGGTTGTTCAGCTAATCATCAAACATACTCTTATTGTAGACATAAAACACCCCAGAACAATATTTTAATAGACATCACAGACCAATCAGTTCCAATAACTCACCAAACTCCTCAAAACTCAGCAGAAGCTTCGGACTCTTCATCATTAATCCCAATACGCTCAGTCTTGACAAACTTAGTGTCCGTTTCTTCATTATTTAAAGTAAAGTTTTATACCACTAAGTTAAGATGCTCAGCAGTCAAGTATGACAAGGCAACGATTAAATATTGTCAAAATTACTACGCAATAGCCAAAAAAATGTTTGAAAAATGTGAAATCTGTGAAGGATACAACAAGAATCACAGAATTGACTGCCATCACAAGAACATTGATTTGGACGTGCTAATGACTTTTGGTATTTATTATTGTGATTACGATGGACGTATAATAAGACATAAAGGAGACTTTATACATCACATGAAGTCTCACATAATTGTAAAGTGCCAAGAATGTGGAAGTAAAATAAAGGAATCAGGACTAGCAATTCATATAAAGTTTAATCATCAAGATGATGGTGAATACAAATGCAAGTTGTGTCCAAAAGTCTTTAACAATAAACATCGTCTAAAGAGACACTCAGAAGCTCATGATATGAAATTTGAATGTCAAAGCTGCAATCGGAAGTTCTCAAAAAAAGGAAGATTAACAGAACATTTTAATGCTTACCACAATGATGACAGAAAGGCTCAGGTTCGATGTCCAATTTGTGACAAGAAAATATTAAGGAAGCAGTCACTTAAGGAGCACATCTTAATTCATGACAAGACAACGCCGAAAAGATTCAAATGTGATCGATGTGACTTTGCGACTCACATGCTTTATACTTTTCGGGTTCATCAACGAAGTCACGTGTTAAAGGACAAAAAGTATGCGGAACTGGAGAATCCTGTAAAATGTAGCAAATGTCCAGCACATCTTAGAAATGAGATTGCATTGAAGAATCACATGATGAATGTTCATCCAAAAGCTGTTTATTGCTGTGACTTATGTGGACGAGTAATACGAGTCAAGTCTAATTTGACAAAGCACATGCTGATTCATGTGAAGCATTTTGAGGCAGAGAGGAAAAGAATTAATAAAATTGTTTAGAGTAACTTTTATTTATGGTGATTAATGCATTTTTTTATGGGAGTTATTCATAAATGATGTTTGAATTTTTAAAGAAAGTTAAGATAAATGAAGCTATTTTATGCCAAATAAGAACCTGATATAAAATAATATAAGCAGAAAAGGCAGGGATGGAGGAATCTGACTGACATCATTTATGAATAAATCCTATGATAATTAATATGTTTCATATAAAGTAATAATAATAGAAATAAAGTTTGATGATTAAAATAAGTTGAGTCATAATTTTGATAATTATTGCTGTGCTTTGACATCATCAAGCCAGGCACCACAAGTCATCTAAATGAGTAAATAATCCAGTAAATATGAGATAAAATATGTGAATAATAATTAAAATAAGTTGAGTAATTTAAAGTTTTAATCATGTTGAGGTTGGTCAGGCATCTTTCAAGTGCTGAGCCAAGCTTAGTCAGCTGTTCACATTGCAAACTGATTGTAGATGATGAGTAGAACAATATTAATGAGTCCCAAAATTGAGCTGATGACTATTATGATGTATTTGGAGACATCTTGTCCTGTAAAGGTCTTCTCGTCATTTGCTTGACGATTTACTGTCCAAATGTTTTTGGACTTCCAACTAGTTATTGCCTGGAATCGTTCCTTAAGAGGTAAATATTGTGAGATTGTTGAGTTTTGGAATCGACTTTGAAGTTTTTGGAGATTTTGATCAAAAATTGGAAGTGATTCGGAATTGACACAAAGCAGTGAGTTTTCTAGCTTTTGCAGTTCTTTGTCAATTTCAGGAAAGCTTAAACATTTTGACTTTGCTTGACTGATGACTTCTTTCACTGTTGTTTGATTGTTGACAGCATCCATGTTGATGCATTTGTTCCCAAGAAGCCGCAACCAAGTCAATTTATTTAAATTGTCAAAAACTTGAGAGCCAATGTGAATTATTTTATTGAAAGCAAATCCAACATATTCCAATTCTGGATTATAAGCAAACAATCCATCCTCAAGAAATTCAATTTCATTATTATACAAGCTAAGAAACACCAACTTTGTAAAAGGCCTCAAATCACTTTGCTGAATTTCCTTCAGTCGACCATATTGGATCAATATCATTTTGAGATTAGTGAAAATATTGTCCAAATTACGCGGGAAATATTCGATGACACGAGTGGAATCCCATGACCAAAACCCAGTCACATCAGCATTGCTCTTGCCACTTGAATGACTTCCATTCACCGAATTAATCACAGCTGATTCTCTTGATTTTATGTTGAGAGTGTTTTGGAGAACGCATTCATAAACATAACCAACAGCATGATAAGAACTAATTCCATATTCGCATTGAATATCAACAGAGTCACCAAATCCACACAGCATAGCAAAGCAGGCAACAAAGCTGTTTTAAAAATGATTAAAATTTACTTTAATTTTATCCTCACAATGAGAAGTAAATTATATCATCAATGTCATTGCCAAGGAAGTGATTTGGTTTTTAAGGGGGTCGCAATAAAATACAAATTCAAAAACTCACACAAAAATCTCCTTTATTATCATCTTAATTCACTGATTTTATCAGCGAGGCACCTTTTTAATTAGTTTTTAAATTAAATTAAAAAAATTATATTTTGATTGTTCTACAGACGACTTTGAAGTGACTAACATAAAATATTTTATAGGGTGCGGTTAGCCTGTTGATTCATAAAAATTTATGATGATTCTCACCAGGCGCGTAGCTAGACGGATTTTAAGACAATTTAAATGAAACTTTTTCTTTTAATTTACAAAATTAATAATCAAAAATAAAAACTAGTGCGTAAAATATGCGTACGTAAAACGCAACGTGAAATTTTTGAAAAATTTAATTTAATTAACCTTTCTGTGAAATGGCATCAGTGACCTAAATGGTAGAGCGTTGGCCTTACGTGCCAAAGGCCCTGGGTTCAATCCCAGGCTATGTGTAATTTTTGAAGCTCTTTTTCCATTTCACCGATCTAGTTACGAAGCTTGGTTCGTGTGTTGGGTGTAGTTTTGAGTTCTTTGGCACAGAATATGCCTCCTTTGCTAGGTATACAAGGATATACTAGCATCTGGATGACTTCCTTACGGCATCTTGCGCACACGGATTGTGACTAGGTACATTGCAGGGTACATCAGGTCTTATGACGTACTCGTGTCTTTGCAATGTACAGAGCTTGCAAGTGGTTCGGATCCCACTATAAACTGTAGGTCTAAAGGGTACAATAGATTCTGTTCTAATTTGAATCGCAGTGCCTCCAGCTGAAAGGCTGAGCCCTTCACACATTATATAACCTTTCTGTGCTAAAATCATCATAATTTTTTTGGCCAGCTCTTGCCAGACACTTCACATATGATAAGCCAAAAACCGCATCGAAAAAGCTTAAACTTGAAAAGGAGATAGATGGACAAACAAACAGACAGACGGACAAAGTGCTTACAAAGCGTAATTTCCTGATAAGAAAATGCGCAAAAAAATGAGCATGGCTGAAATTCTCATAAAAAGGCGCAATTCTCTTCAGCATGAAACTTCTCACGAGATGTTTAATAAAAAGAACTATAAAATTTTCAATTGAGAAATAAAATCAAAACAAATAAATCAGTTGAGTTCCAGCGATCGATGAAATCGGAAGTGCAAAAGATCAACAAATACAAAAAAAAAATAATCAAAAATGCAGCGAAATTTAACGAGACTTATCCAAAAGTCGTCAATTTTATCAACAAATCAAAGAATTTTAATATCCGTGAGGTCACTAGCCTCAGCACAGGACATATTTCAGCATAAAAGTAAATTTCCAACACGTCACATTGGACCGAGAAAGACGGATGTTGTTTCTATGCTGGATTTGCTTGGGTTTAAGGTGAGGAATTTTTATTTTAAAAGTTTGTGGAATTAAGAAACTTTTTTTTTTATTTTGAATTTTTTTAAATTTTAAAATATTTTCTAAAATTAAAGAATTCAAAAAATTTTTAAAAAAACTAAAGTAAAATTTAAGAAAGTTTTTTAAAATATTTTAAAAAATTTAAATAGAAATTACGGAATTAGAAATTTAAAAAATTCCAAAAATTCACTTTTTCACAATTTTATCTTAAGTATTTTACCTTAATCCCTCCCTTTTACATTTCCAGACTCTCGATGAGCTCACCGACAAAGTCGTTCCCATAAAGATCAAATTCGATCGCGACCTCAACATCGAAAAGCCACTCAGTAAGTACAAAAACGTCACAAATCGATCAACAAACTCCACCAAAAAAAAATATCATTGATAACACCGAACAATTCGGCTATTTTTATTCAAATCTTATCAGCCTCGCCATGATTCTCTGCTAGACATGTATTGACATTTTTTACGTTTTAATTTATTCATCTCATGTGAATTTGCGGCTTATCAGCTGTGACTTTGACGATGATGACTCGCATTTGTGTGTCGATTTGAGAGGTCGAGCTTGCTCCCCAGCAGAGTTTAATTTTTAATCTGTTTTGATTTTTTTTTGTTGTTGTATTTACGTTGGGGATGAGATGTGATTTTGTTGTGATGCAGACTGAGATGAGTTGATTTTTATGTGAATGTGCAGCCTTAATTGTTTATTTTATTGCTATTTCTAGTCATTTGATCATATTTGTCCAATTTCTTCACAGATGAGCATGATCTTATCAACAGAATTCGCGCTGTAGCTCATACAAATGAAATTTGGAGATCATACATAGGAATGGGATACCACAACTGGTAATAAAGTTAAAAAAAGATATTCGTGCGTCATATTTTAAGAAGACATTAAACTAGTATCCTGAAAATGGCACACGTTTATAAAACCTCAACAATTATGATTATTCTAACTTTATTCTACAATTTTAGCCACGTTCCACATCCAATTTTGAGAAACATCTTTGAAAATCCTGGATGGTAAGTGCAGCTTATCTTAATGATGCACAAAAATTATAAAATCGATCATTTTCAGGACTACCCAGTACACACCATATCAGCCAGAAATTGCACAAGGTCGCCTTGAATCACTTTTGAATTATCAAACATTGGTGACAGAAATGACTGGATTGGACGTTGCCAATGCTAGTTTACTTGATGAAGGTAAGGATATACTTAAGTAGGCTATCACCAGCAGCGCAGTATGGTTATGGCGACTAGTTGAGTGCATTAAAGTTGACACTGATCAATATTTACATACACAGCAGCAAATTGATAATCCTAATTTAATTTTCATTTCATTCTTCCTAGGTACCGCTGCAGCTGAAGCTATGAGTCTCTGCTTCCGTCACAATAAACGCAGAAAAATTTACTTGTCCAATAATCTTCATCCACAAACTTTATCAGTTGTTGAAACACGATTAAGTGCACTTGACATTGAAGTTGTTATTGGTGACATTGCTGATGTTGATTTGGCATCTCGTGAATATTCAGGAATATTGCTGCAATACCCAGACACGCATGGTAATGTTGTAGACTTTGAGAGCATTGCTGATGAGGCTAAGAAGAATGGAGTGAGTATTTAGTTGGAATTGAAGCTTAGCGTTGACTTTGACTTAATAGATCACAAAAAATATTAATTTAACCCACATTTCCTATCTACATTCCAGACTTTAACCTGTGTAGCTACAGATTTACTAGCTTTAACACTTTTAAGACCTCCAGCTGAATTTGGAGCTGACATTGCTGTTGGAACATCACAAAGACTTGGAGTTCCACTTGGCTATGGTGGACCACATGCTGGGTAAGCTGGAATTACACAAAGTTCAAAAATAACATTCATGCGTCATATTTTGGAGAGACAGTAAACTGGTATCCCAAAAATGACGCATGCACCCAAAATCGCAACAATCAGCTCTAACATCCAATAATTCTCATTCTAGTTTCTTCGCCTGCAAACAGAGCTTCGTTCGTCTCATCCCAGGACGTATGGTAGGCGTCACTCGAGATCAAGATGGTCATGAGGCTTATCGTCTCGCCCTTCAGACACGCGAACAGCACATTCGTCGAGATAAAGCAACAAGTAACATTTGTACAGCACAAGCTCTTCTAGCTAATATGAGTGCTATGTTTGCAATTTATCATGGACCAGAAGGATTGAAGGAAATAGCTAAGGACATCCATAATGGTGCAATCGTGTTGAGTCATGGACTAAAGAGAGCTGGACATCAGCAGTTAAATGATGTCTTCTTTGACACAATTCATGTTGTACCGAATGGATTGACAATTGATGACATTAAGGAACGAGCACAAAATAAGAAGATTAATTTGAGGTATTTGAGTGACGGATCCATAACAATTGCATTGGATGAGACAGTCAAGCCTGGAGACATAGAAGACTTGCTATGGGTTTTCAAGGCTGACTCACTGTCTGACATCCTCAACGACCCATCAGCATTGGACCAAAACATTTCAAATTCCAAATTTATGAGAACTTCCCCATACTTGACACATCCGATCTTCCATAAGCATCATAGTGAGTCAAGGATGGTCAGGTACATGAAGCAGCTTGAGAATAAAGACATATCCTTAGTTCACTCAATGATTCCACTCGGTTCTTGTACAATGAAGCTTAATTCAACAACTGAGATGATTCCATGCTCATTCCGTCACTTTACTGACATTCATCCATTCGCACCAGTTGATCAGGCGAAAGGATATCATCAAATGTTCACAGAACTTTCCAATGACCTGTGTGAGATCACTGGATATGATAAAATCTCACTGCAGCCAAATAGTGGTGCACAAGGTGAATATGCTGGTCTTCGTGCTATTCGTGGTTATCATGAAGCTAATGGACATCATCACAGGACAGTCTGCTTGATTCCAGTCTCAGCTCATGGAACTAATCCAGCTAGTGCTCAAATGGCAGGCATGAGAGTGGAACCCATCAAAGTTAGAGCTTCAGATGGAACTATTGACTTGGTCCATTTAAAGGAAAAGGTTGAGGAATTCAGCAATGAATTGTCATGCCTGATGCTGACATATCCATCAACTAATGGCATTTTTGAGGATCATGTTGCTGATGTTTGTGATTTAATTCATAAGCATGGCGGTCAAGTGTACTTGGATGGTGCTAATATGAATGCACAGGTTGGACTGTGTAGACCTGGTGACTATGGATCTGATGTTTCACATTTGAATCTACATAAGACTGTGAGTTTGGAAGTTTTGGGTAATTTTAGGATTTATTAATGATTTTTTGATGTCTTTTTTGCAGTTCTGTATCCCACATGGTGGTGGTGGACCTGGTAAGTGCTGTTTAAAAATTAAATATGATAAGAAATTAACAAATTTTGACATTTAAGGTTGCGGACCGATTGGAGTTAAGAAGCATTTAGCACCATTTTTGCCATCACATCCAGTTGTTGACATTTTCCATGAACTTGAAGATAACCAAAGCTTTGGAACTATTTCAGCTGCTCCTTATGGATCTTCAATGATTTTGCCAATTTCATGGGTATGAAGATTTAAATTGGTTAGAAGAATTTTTCAGGGGGGAAGCAACATGATGGGAACATTTTTTTGAAGAGAATTATTTACCATTATGTTCTCAATCACATTGTCTTCAAATTGATGATAAATCCTAATCAAATAATTAACCCATCATGTTGTATTCCCCTTAAAAAATTGCCCTCATCATGTTGTTACCCCCCTTGAATTTTAAAAATTCCTTCCTTACTTCTAGGCTTATATAAAACTGATGGGCGGTCGTGGTCTTCGTCGTGCCACACAAGTAGCCATCCTCAATGCCAACTACATGTCTAAAAAGCTCGAACCATACTTCAAGACCCTGTATGTAGATCCATCATCACAGCTTGTTGCTCATGAATTCATCCTTGACATCCGCGAGTTCAAAAAGACAGCAAACATTGAGGCTGTTGACATTGCTAAACGTCTTATGGACTATGGCTTTCATGCACCAACCATGTCATGGCCAGTTCAAGGTACTTTGATGATTGAGCCAACAGAATCTGAGGATAAGGAAGAACTTGACAGATTCTGTGAAGCTTTGGTGACAATAAGACAAGAAATTCGAGACATTGAGGAAGGCAAAATGGACATAAAGATAAATCCATTAAAGATGTCGCCACACACACAGTTCCAGGTTGTAAACTCTGAATGGAACCGACCATATTCAAGGGAGCAAGCTGCTTTCCCTGCTGTAAGATAGAAAATTAACTTAAATTTTTGGATTTAGTAATAAATTGTTTATTTTTTGCAGCCATTCGTAAGACCTGACTCAAAGGTGTGGCCAACAGTTGCTAGAATTGATGATGCTTATGGTGACAAGCATTTGGTGTGCACATGTCCACCAATCCTTCCAGATTTATACACATAAATGCCACTTCTGTAATTTTTGACTGTAGAATTAAGTTTTCAAGAAAATAAAAAAAAATAAATTTTTATAAAATATTATTTTTTTTTATTTTTTTAAAGCGCTGATTTTATTCATCATCAGATGAGTCCGACAAGTTTGACGAAATGTCAACCCAGTCATCTTTCGATGTATCATTGTCATTTGTGGACTTTTCCTCACATAAATTTGCATTAACTGACAAATCTTCCCATGAGTGATGTTCAGAGGCTGATGATGAGGATGATGATGAAGAGTCAGAGTCTGAATTGTCTGAATCAGAACTGTTGTCGGAATCGGAGTGCATATTCATAATTTCTGTAAATAAAGTAAGGATGATTAATGAGTTTTGGTTACAAGGAGCCGTTGACATGCAAAAGATTAAGTCATAAGGAAGAGATAATAGTAAAAAGTACATTATCATCCACAAAACCCAGTCCAAACCTTCAAAAAAAGTTGCTTTAAGGGGGAGGGGGAAGTAGAGAAGGGAGAAGGGGGAGGGAGGAGAGGAGGGGGGGTCAGCAAGAAAAATAATAGAAATTCCTGGAAAATCCATTGATTTTTTTTGAAACATGACCGTTAAATTTGGACGTCATAAGTGAACGACCCCTAAGCCAATTGCTATAAATTCAATACCTCTTTTTCTTTCTTCAGGCAGATCATCAAAGTAGTAATAATCCCAGCTCCGTTCTTCTTCATCTTTTATGTCTTCTTCTTCATTTGAAGTTAATTTATCTGAAATTAAGTACAAGATGAGTTTAGCTGACGTCCTGAACTTAAAATTCCTTACTAAGGTTTAAATCAGAAGTAATTATCCATCAGAAATCCGGTACCAAGCCAGTGTGACTCTAGCATAGTGCTGGATTTAAATCGAAGCAAGCACCATGCCCGAGTCATTCAAGCTTGTATCCAGATTTCTATTCGATTAAGCAACTTATGCTATTCTGGTAAGTCTTAACCAAATTCAATGTCTAATTTCCCTTTACATCATCTAAACCAGTGTTGTCCGAACTTTGTTGAGCGACGGCACCCTTTAGAAAGAAGCCATGAACAAAGTCGCACACAGCATACGGCTCGCGTCATTTTAAAAATCCAGTGTGCCGCGGCACACAGTTTGGACAATACTGATCTAAACCAGGGTTTCTCAAATTTTTTTAAGACGTGGAGCAGTAGATCATTCACACATGTTTACGCGCCAAACTGGCAACCACTATATAAAACATCTAGAATTTTTTTAAAGCTCCCCGGATCATAGTTTGAGAAACACTGATCGAAACTCACCTTCATCCTCACTGTTAGACAGTTCATCATCATCATCATCATCCGATGGAACTTCACAATCATATTGACTATATCCATCAAGAAACTTTAGCGACGGAATTAAATAAAAAACCTTTTCTCGATAATTTCTGATCATTTGGACGTCATTTTTGTACAAATCTAAAATTTTCAGCCTCTTCAACTTCCTGAGTGGCTTTAAATCGTTGAAATTTTTGATCTCATTGGACGCTAAATTGAGATTTGTGAGTTTTGGACATGATTTTAAGAATTTTAAGCCTACAGAAATTTTGTTGCCTGTCAGCTCAAGTTTCTTAAGGCTTTGAAGTTCTGGGAGGTTGTCTAAGGATGTTAGACCGACGTTGTTCATGGTTAGCTTAACTAGATTGTAGAAATCACTTGTAAGGCCTTCGATGGATGTGCTGACGCAGTCATCGAGGTTTAGTTTTTTGATGTTGCTGGCTTCTTTGTTTTCTAGCTCTAAGGTGATACGTGCTTCCATTTTTTTGCGGCTCTTGGTTAACGTTTAAAGATAAACTGAGCAAAACTTGTCAAAAATAATGCCAGGTAGCTGAAAAAATCAAAAAACTTTAGTTTGAAATTCAAAAAACCGTTAAAAGAATTTTTTTAAATTTCTATTTATTTACTTAATTTTACATAATGTTAATCTATTAAATCACACATAACCTCAAAAAAATATCAAATAATTCCACTATATAGGAACCTCGGCAACTCTTGCTCAATCATTTTCTTAAATCCATTAGAATTAAAAGCCTTAATCTTAATTGATCTCATTCCGTTTGTCAAATCTTCAGGCTCGAGTGTGTTATAATCAAAATAACTCAAATATTTAAGGCAAATTGCTGTGATGACTTGCAAATTTCCATTTTTGAGCATTTCAATTTGAAGATCCATTAAAGTTGGGATGTGTTTTTGGTAGCCAAGCTGCTTTAAAGTTTCAACAAATTGTTGATGATAAATTGCGATAAATTCGTCGCGGTGCTTGTTACGGTTTGAGTCTGAGACGAAATTGTATAGTGCGTATGTCAGATCAATTGCTGGAGTGGCAAAGACGCAGGTTTGGAAGTCAAGCTGAAATTTTTTTATCTTCAACATAAACTCAAAAATATCTAATTCTTAATACTTACCATAATCATGTCACTCAATGTCCCATCCAAGTCTCTTTTGAACAATACATTCCTAGAATGAAAGTCTCCATGGTTCAGGACATTGATTGTTGTTGATCCTTTATGTGGTTTGTATGATTTGAGTCCGAGGCTTGCAAAATTCTTCCTAAAAGCTCTCAGAGGTTCAACATATTTTTCATATCCCTTCCAAGTTGACAGTACTTCTATGAATATCCTTAGTGGCTTATCAAACAGCATGTTGATGCATTGGTAGTCCTCGTAGATTGAGAATGTGAAATAGGCTGGATTGAATTGCTGAAAAGTGGATGGGAGATTGTATTTTTTTGAAAAACAAATGCTAAGCTATACCTAACCTATACCTAACCTATACCTAACCTATACCTAACCTATACCTAACCTATACCTAACCTATACCTAACCTATACCTAACCTATACCTAACCTATACCTAACCTATACCTAACCTATACCTAACCTATACCTAACCTATACCTAACCTATACCTAACCTATACCTAACCTATACCTAACCTATACCTAATCTATACCTAACCTATACCTAACCTATAAACTTGCCTTAATCTTGTTCAAATAGTAACTTCCAGCATGAAACTTGCCAAGCCTTCTCGCAATCATTTTAGAAAATTCAAAATCTTCAGGAATCGTGTCAATCATAAAGTCAAAAGCATTCATATGGACGTCTTCTAGAAAAATGACTGGTTGAGGTTCCATTGACTGGAAGATTAACCTAAAAGTAAAGAAGTTCATGATTATAATGACCTTAACCAGATTGTCTGTATGTCTGTTTGTCTGTTTGCATGTTCACTGGTCTGTCTACCTTAAAAATCCATCAATTTTTGCTACGGATTCCCCAATCAAGATAACAAATTTTGGACCTTAATCCGACATCATATTGTCTTGTCATCGTCACATCAACCAAAAATATAAATTCTTATCAATTGAGCTCAACTAACCTTGGACATAAAACATCGCTATCGCCAATCGACTGCATTAAAAGCTGAATTTTCGATAAAATTTTGTACATTGACGTTTCCACATTAAAGGCTGTCTCGTCTTCAAACTTTTCAGCATTTTCAACAACTGGCTGAGTTTTAATAATTGTAAAAATTTTGTCAATAATTGAGTTGGAACAGTAAATAATTGATGCACGGTAAACGGCACTTCCGCCTTGATTTCCGCCCGACTTTTTCGCTGGCTCAATCGAGTATTGAAGAACTTTGGCTTGCGGATTATTTTCGTAGTGACAAATTGCTGACATGATGAACTTATCATTCATCCAGAGTGGAATTTGAGAATCTGCAGTGGACATTCTGTACCAAAAAAATGAGTTTCTTTATTGCTGAAAATTCTACGAACAACTGAGTCGTGTGTGCTGTATTTTGTTTTGTAGAGCAACATTTTTATGACTAAAAACAATTTTTTTTTCTGGCTGATAAGATAAAAATTAATAACAAACACACGTTGATAAGATTGGCAATTGTACTTGTGGCTTTATTAGATTAAAATCGCTGCAATTTTTTGATAATTGTGAATTTTTTTTGGCTACTTTTGACCCTCTTAAGGTTCTTGATGGTTCCGTCGAATGTCTCTTGACTTTAAACGACTCTTTTGTGGATCTTACTGATCACATTATGTGGATTAACTTCACGTCGAGGAGCTTTAGTTCATTCTGCAACCTTTTGTTTAACACAATGACCTGATTAGACCTCAACTTCCCTTCCTTAACTCTGTCTCTGATGTTTTGATCATTTATTCAGTTCTGCGCCTTTGCTACAGCTGAATTAGTATTTTAAAAGGTTGACTTAAGCCAGACCCTAGCCTCACACTCGACCATATCAATCAATACCCTAAACTATACTCAGTAACCAGCTTATTCCCTCAACTAGCACAAACAATTTCATTTAAGCACTAAAAAATTAACTTAATTTAAAAGTAAAACCCAATCAATAAGGGATCGTTCACTTATGACGTCCGAAATTAATGGCCAAAATTTCCCGGAATTTCTATTGTTCTTTTCTTCCTGACCCCCTCCCCCCCCCCTTGACGTCATAAGTGAACGGCCCCTTAGTCATAAACCTCAACTTTAGTATAATAAAACTCAACAAACATAATCGGAACCAGCTTTTTGCCTTCCGTTATTTTCAGTCCAAAGCTCTTTCTCGTGTTTGGTTTGAATGGTAAAAAAGCATTTTTTAAGTTATATTCTTTAATCCTCAAATGTTGATCTTTTTTGTATGGACATTGAAACTTAAAGTTTGCTTGTTTCTGAATTGCATCAAGAACGGGCTTGACTACCAATCCGGTCACTGAATGAGCATTGAGTGTGCACAAGTTGATGGTTTGTTCAATGTTGATCTCATTTGTGCTTAGGTCAGTGACTTTAATGCTCATCTGGGAAGGAGGATTGAAATTTGAATTATTTTTGAGGATTTGGGGGAACTTTGGCTCAAGCTTCCTATTACCAGAGCTCGAAGTCGACTCGAGTTGACTCGAAAAAAATGAAGCCGACTCGAGAAAAGTTGAGTCGACTCGGTTTTGAGAGCCCTATCGACTTCGAGCTCTGCCTTTTACTATACCTACCCTCATCCTTACAAGGTCTTTGGCTACATTTATATTTAATTCGGGAACCAAATCAACTGGCTTGTCCTTTGTTGCATGGTCATAAATTGAGAAATTCCAGCTGACATTCCAATACTCAATGTTGTATCGAAGTGAAGGTCGCTTATAGAAGTTTATAGTCCAATGCTGTAAATGAAATAGAGTTTTCATGGTTTTGGACATTTCGACACTGTTATTTAATAAACAGAACCTATCGAAACTACCAAAATGCAGCCTTGTAGATGTCTGAGAATAATCAATAATTGAACCACAACCCAGCAATTACCTTTCCACTTGAAACTTCAATAGCAGCCATAATTAAAGCTATTATCACCGTCCTCATCATTTTTTGGAAGTAAAGCTATACCAAGTGATGGCTAAACGAAAACTAAAAATCATATTCTAAAATATGATTTAAAATATCAAAAAAATTGGCTAATTATCAAAATTATTCAAAAATTGCTTTTGTTTTTGAAGATTTGAGTGAAAATATTTAACAATTTATCATTAAGTCATGCTGTTGAATAGAAGAACAGCCTTAAAACTTTGACAAAGATGGTTTTAACCACCGGGACAGGTTTCTTGGTTTTAAATTACATCCAGACCTACCTTTGGGTGTATTTTAGTGTAGCCTGTCTAATAATTATGGGGAATATCCAAAAAATTCCAATAAAATTTCAGCACTTTCTATCATCGTCCTTTTAATCCAACCTGATGTTTCTCAAATTAATCCTCAACTATAAAAAAAAATCAAATTTTACAACGGCTAGAAAAAAATTGAAATTATAGAGGTAATGTTGAATTTATAGAGGTAAAATTAAATTTGGGCAGGTTACACTGAAAACAAAAAATCATTAATTATAGCATAAAGGCATGGTTTTAAGATTTTTAACCACTCAATGGGCTGATAAATCGATAGTAACGGAGCTAATAAAACAAACCCGAGCTCTCTACGATGTCTTGTTAAAAAGTTATTCTTCACCCGAACAGCCGAACAGCCGAACAAAGTGTATTATTAAGCTCCCTTTTAGAAACTAGTTTCAAAAATGCGCTTAAAATAGCACAAGTCTTAGAATCGAATAGAAATTCAGCACCAAGCTGGCGTAGATCTGGCATGGTGCTGCATTCGATTTGAGTCCATGCCAAAGTTGCGCCAGCTTGGTGCTGGATTTATTGACTTGTTTTATTCGAGTAAATTATAACAAATTCAACCCGTCCAAGTGCATCAAAACAATACTTTCTGAAAATCACCGTCAAATTCAGAAACTTTTGTCTTCATAAACTTTTATGCTTACTAATTTGGACGTCTTTTTTTGTATAAAAACCTAAGGATCTTCCACTAAGATCATCAGTTCAGTTAATAACATCTTATTAACAACAATTAAAAAAAGTTCAAAAAAAAAAATCAACCAACAATGAAACTTCCAATCGCAGAAGACTCAGCACCACAAGTAGTTCCAGTTGATTACTACGTCAACGACTGGTGGCCAGGCAAAAATCAAAAATACACCGGTCAAATTGTTAGAAACGACCAACAAATGCCAAAAGTCATTAAAGAAGTTTGTGGCAAACATTTATTTAAAAATACTAATAAGGATGTGCTTGGACTACGCTTTGATTTTTGTAATATGACATTTGTGCCGCGTGGGATCTGCACAGTCTATCCGAATCTTCAAATTTTGTTGGTCTATAACTCGAATGTTCAAAAGCTGAAAAAGGACGATTTTCTGGGATGTGAACAGTTGAAGGAGCTGTGGCTGAACAGCTTAAATATCGAGTACTTGCCTGGCAATCTATTCCATCACATGCCGAACCTTGAGATTGTGTCTGTGCAGTCATGTAAAGTTAAGTATATCGATAATGACATCCTTGATCATTTGAAGAATCTGAAGGTCGCAAAGTTCAATAGTAATGAACAGATTAATGCATTTTATGACTCCGTGTCACTTAAGACGAGTGACGGTATAAGTTTAGAGGAACTAAAGCAGATGTTCAAGAAATTAAGTCCACCAAACTACTATGACTTGTCTGAATACTTTGAAGCTGATAAGTTGGACCCAGTTCAACCCACTAATGACTATCTAGCCGATTCTGTCATAGCTGACATCAAGAAGTTCACAGAGAATGAAAAGTACAAAGACTTGACAGTTATTGTCGATGGTGATGACTTTAAGGTCCATAAATTTGTATTGGCAGCTCGCAGTTCCGTTTTTGCTGACATGATTTACAAGAATCAACAATCAACATTGGAACTGACTGATTTGAGGAAGGAAATCTTTCAGGACATCCTTATTTACATCTACTCTGATGAATTGCCAGAGATTAACAACAATGCCTTCGATCTGTTCTCAGCTGCTTGTCGATTTGACATTGATGTCCTTAAAAAGCATGCAATCAGTAAAATGACATCTGGAGTGACTGCTGAAAATGCACTTGACATGCTGATTTATGGAAAATTGTATGGCAATGAGTCACTTAAGAAGAATGCTTTCGATGAGATTAAAAAGATGTTCCCGGACAGAGAATTGAGTGAGGAACTGACTGAGGATACTGAAAAGTTAAAGAAGATCATTGATGCTAAGATGGTCATGGATGAGAAGATAAGACAAGCACAGGAGGAGTTCGAGCAGATGGGCTTTTTTGATTAGTCAACTTTGAAGCTGCTTCCTTAAAAATTATTTTGATTCCTTAAACTTTTTTTAACTATTTTTCCTTAAAATTACTTTTTTTTTCATAAATAAATCAAAATTTCAAACAAATAAATTCAATTTTTTATTGCGAACTTCATTCAATCTCTAAACCTAACCTTAATTCCAATTAGGCACCAATGCAATGGATGAAGCCAAATAAGGAAATTCCCTAACTTCATCCTCAGTTCCGAAAATTCTGTCATCATCATCTTTGAAACTTAATCGTCCACTTTCAAGTTCCTCGATGTGAAGAACTCCACTCTTGGTTGTGGTGAAGACGACAGTCTTTGTGCTTGTTGGATTGAGCTTTTGAGTCACAAATAATGCTGGTCGAGATAAAATTGTCCAGTGGACGGCTGTTATTGTGTTGGTTGTTGTATAGATCCAGGAGGTAAGTGGATGTTTTGTTTTTGTGACTGTTGTTCTTAAAGTTGAGGTTAATGTGCTTGTCAGAGGTACTGTACAGTTAGGATGAAGAGTAGCTGGAGCTGAAACTGATTGATTCGTCGTCGTTGATGTTGTAGATTTTGTGGCAAGTGCGTCAGCATGACCAGATGTTAATGTCATGACAAGATTGCAAACTGAAAATTCACAAAATTGTGATTATCAATTTTTAATATTTATTAAGCTTAGAAATACCAAATATTGTCAAATGTAATCCTTTCATATCTTCCAATTCACAAAATTCACTTCACACGTTGTGCTACGATCGACATTCTAAAGCCAAACTAAAAGCTTTCAAACAAATCCAAAAATGCAGCACATTTGACTATCTCAGAACAGGTTTGTCAACGGTCTTGTGTCTATCCATCATCTGAGTGCTGCTCAAACTTTTTGAGTCATGGCACCCCAAAGTTGTAAGCATCGACTTTGATTAATTGAATATCGTGATGTTTTTGAAAAAAAAAAACATTCTTGTGTGTCGTGTCACACAGGTTGGACAACGCTGATTGAGTTGAATCAAATGTAGAGCATGTTGAGTAATAGAAAGAAATGGGCCAAATAAAGGTTAAAGAGAATGTGAAGAATAGAAGTTCAATGACTTTCGGAACTGGAATATAGCGCAATTTACTTATTAGGTAACGTTTTTAGGAGGAAAAGAGGGAGGGCAGGGAGCGAGTCTGAGATTTTTTGACAGTTCTAAGAACTTCATGCTTTTTCATTCAAATTTGGTGGGGGGGCACAAAAAACTGTTTTTTTGCGTTACGTAATTTATGAATAACCCCTATGAATTCCGCTGTTTGATTTGCTGCTTATGATTTGGAATTAAAAGAAGGAAAAAATATTTTTTTTTTATTTTTTTTATTTTTCAAAATCCAAATTTAAGGGGAATACAACATGATGGGTAACTGATTTTGGTACAATTTTTTAACGGATTTTGCTTTAACCTCCACCCATTGTCCAGAAAAAATCTTCAAGTTTAAGTCAGAAAGTGTGAAAAATTGTAGATGATTTCCCATCACGTTGTGTCATCCAAGCAACAAAAACTGATCCAAGCGTTGACCCCCCCCCCCCCCCCCCCTCCAGAAAAAGTGAGAAATTCATAAAAATGAAGATTTCCCCTTCCCCTCCCCTCCTTTCCCCCTTCCCCTTATTATTCATTATAAAAATTCCAAGCTAAGCCTCTGTCCTAATCTATAACTTTTTGTGTATTCTTAAACAAATCATCAAGAGTCAGCTACTCACACTCGTCCTATTCAACACCACCAAAAAGCTCTTCAACATCTGGAAACCTAGTCATCATTAATGCCATTGAGTTAGTCACGCTATCCTCAATATCCTGAATCTTTCCAGCACTTTCTCTAGCTGGAAATGGATAAGTATAAACGACAGTAACTCCTGGTAGAATAGCAATTGAAATCTTATAAGTCGTCCAAGTCTGCGTATAAGTGGAAGTAACAGTCGGTTCTATCCATAAAGTGTCAGTTTTAGTCACCGTTGATGTTATTGTCTCAGTTGGAGCTGCTAAGGTGAGTGCTGGAGTTGTTGTGACTGTCTCTGTTGCTGTTGTGAGTTGGATGAAGGTTGATGTTTGGCTTGTTGTAGTTGCAAGAGTTGTGCTGATCATGTTTGGAGTTGTTGTGATGGCTAATGTGGCTGTTGAGAGGGATGGGGTTGTGTTAGATGTGACTGATGATTCAGATGAGATTGTTGCGATTTCTGTGGATTGAGATTTAATTGCTGGCAACTTAAAAAAAACTCTAAAAGTAACTCCATAAGACTTACCAAAACCCACAAAAATTAAGACACTAAAAAGCTTCATCGTCAAAAAATTATCACCAACCAGCTTGACATCCAGAATGGAACTAAAAAAGAAACACGCAACTGTGTCCAGCATTTCCAGTTGCTTTGTTTTGATTCATTTTCATTCCATTCCACAAAGTTGTCGACCAAACAAAAAACTAGTTTTTCATGCCATGTTCTACACTTCCTGTACGCAATTCTCAATTTTTACTCAAAAATTCACCAAAAGCTACACATTTAACTACAAAATATGAACCTCAAAACATCAATTCCAGCTATTTTTATCCTCACTTACGTGGCTATATCCTTCATCCAGCCAGCTCAATCATGCACTGACACCTGCACAGCTGATGAAATCAAAGCATTCGAAAAATTTAAGCAAGAATTCTACAAATCGTACAGCACAGCAGCTGATGAATGCACAGCCCGTGGAATATTTTGCAAAAATTACAGAAAAATTATCGACAACAACAACAATTCGAGTTCAACATACAAAATGGCTGTCACATCCAGCACTGATCAATTATCTGAGGACAGTCGATCAACAGGAATGGTCGATCCGCCACCATTGGAAGTAGCAAAACGCAACACAACGTCCGCAAAGTTGATCAGGAAAGCGAAGAAAGTCAAAGCTAATCAATTTGCTCAAAATACAGTCAAGGAATCTTCAGGAAATGTCAATAATGGACCACTAACAGGACCTGTTAAAGATCAAGGCAATTGCGGAAGTTGTTGGGCATTTTGTTCTGCTGCTGTGCTTCAATATCAAGCTAAAGTCTATCAAAACAGAACAATTGAGGTTTCTGAGCAGGACTTCCTGGAATGTAATGCTTATGCAAGCATGTACGGATGTAATGGTGGAAATCCAATATTTGCAATGACTTATGCTTACAAAACTGGTGTCATTCCGATGGTTAAGTATCCTTACCGTCAAACTAAGGAGGCATGCAGGAGGTCATCGAGTATGGGACAGAATTATCCAACACTTGGGGATGTCACGATGGTCAGCAACTTCCTTTATTGCAAACTTAAAGTTTCTTAAATTTTAAAATCTTTTTAAGGCAAATGCAAATGGAGACGAGTCAGTTCTACGTAGAATAATCGACAGCTATGGAGTCATAGCTATTGCAATGGGAACAACAACTGGATTTACTTCATACAGCAGTGGAGTATTTGATGATCCGGCATGTCCAACAAAGGTCAGCCATTGCGTTGTGAGTAATTTTGATTTAATTTGAAGATTTTTGTTGATTAATTGATTTGATTAAAGACTCTGGTTGGCTATGGAACCGATGATGTCCTTGGGGATTATTGGGTAATTTTTTGGTATTTTTTGATTTTTAAGGTTAATTTTTTATAAGTTTTTTCTGGATTTTCAGATGTTGAAAAACTCTTGGGTAAGTGCAAAAGGGTAGCAATTGGATGGATTCCAGTGGTTCTCTACCTTTTTTTGGATATCGTAATCTACTAAACTAATCTAAACTTTGTCTACCGTCATGCATTTTGTGAAATACATGAAGGTTCTGGGGACACAGGACTTTATCTCAAAACACAGGTTGAGAAGCACTGGTGTGGCATTAGACTCTAGAATAGTGATGGTCAACTTAGGTTAGTGCGTTTTTCGAGAAATCCAACAATTCGTGTACGGTTTTGATCATGGCTTGCCACCAAGATTTCCGTGGCATAAAAAGGTTGTCCACCACTGTGCCCATCTCTACTTAGAACATTCTAAACCATTGACACATCCAAATAACACAAGAAAAAGTTCCTTTGACAATAATTTTGATTTTAGGGAACTGACTGGGGTGAAGCTGGATACTTCAGAATGAAGCGAGGAACAAACACGTGTGGAATCGAGACTGCCAACTATTATGTCGTAGTTCCTAAATAAACTGATGAAAATGTGCTTTATAAGTTGTTCTCAGGATGTGTTGCTGCCTAATGCTCTGTATTTAAGCTACAAAAGTATAAAGTATGGCTCATTATTGTGGCTGAAAAATAAAATTTTAAAATTTTTTGAAAAATTAAAAAATTGAGTTTTTACTTTGAATTTTTTTATGCTTTATTTGAATTCATTTATAATGAAAAAAGGTTGCAACCAACAAAAGACAATGTAAATAAAGTTAAAAACTAATAAAACATTTTTAATCATTCTTTATAAGAATTTGTAAACAAAAGTAAATGAGAAAAAAATCAAAAAAAGTTAAAAAATGTAATTTGAAATTCCAAAAAATTAAAATTTGATGTTTTTTTAAGTTTAAAATCCTAAATTTGAAAAAATTTTATGTTTCAAAATTCCAAAATTTTAAACTTCAAAAATTTTAATTTCAAAAAATTTTAAATTTCAAAAAATTTTAATTTCAAAATATTTTAAACTTCAAAAACTTTAAATTTCAAAAATTTTAATTTCAAAAAATTTTAAATTTCAAAAATTTTAAACTTCAAAAAATTTTAAATTTCAAAAATTTTAATTTTAAAAAATTTTAAACTTCAAATATTTTAATTTCAAAAAATTTTAAACTTCAAAAATTTTAAACTTCAAAAATTTTAAACTTCAAAAATTTTAAAATTTTAAAAAATTTTAAATTTCAAAAATTTTAATTTTAAAAAATTTTAAACTTCAAAAATTTTAAAATTTCAAAAAATTTTAAACTTCAAAAATATCATTGTTTTTTGAGAAAAATTTCAAAATTAAAGAAATTTTAAATATGTTAAAAATCAAAAAAATCAAAACCGTTAAAAATTTAAAAAAAGTCGAAAATGCCAAAAAAGTAATTTTATTTAAACATTTAAAATTCTTTCAGTTTCTCTTAAAATTATTTTTTTCTTTTCTTTGGTATAATTTAAATTTTTGAACAAAAAAAAGGTTAAATTTTTGATCCCTACCGACCAGATCCATCTAAATCCTCACCTAAATATCAATAAATTTCAACTTAAAACACTCAAAAAAAACTTATGGCAAGCTTTTAAATCCACAATATTGCCACTTCCCATCATCCTCAAAATAACGAAAAATTTTCTCATTTTTGACTAAAACGTCAAGAATTTCAGATTCACTAATTCCAGTGATTAATTCACTTATGTATCCTAAAATGGCATCAATTTTTACACCATTTGGATGTATGACTAGAAAAACTGTTGCCAATGACACCAGCTGTGCCTCACTGTGACTACAAATTTCAATATTTGATTGAGCTTTCTCGATTATCGACGACGTCTCACTGCAATCATCAACCGACTGTGAAGTTGAACGTGCATTTGCAATTTTTGTCCGTAAAAGGAGTTCCTTGACATTCGATTCACGGTTCAATATCTCTAATTCTGCTATTTTTGCCTCATTTTGCTTCTCTTTGGTACTTGTTTCCATTAATTTACGCTGTAAATTGCGAATTGTCTCTTGAAGGACTTTGATTTGTTTAGATTTGATCTCGACATCTATTTTGTGGCTGCTAAGGCTGTCTGTCTCGTATTTTATGTCATGAGATAGGGAGCGGGATGAACGATCGTCCTAGAAAGTAGATTTAAATGAAAGGTTTCAGAATTAGGTGACATAAAGTGGTACACAGCTTCTTTGGAAATGGGTACACATCTTTTTTCGAAAGGGGTACACAGCTTTTTTGAAAAAAAAAAATGGTCCACAGGTTTTAGAAAAGGGTACACAGCTTTTAAAAAAGGTGTCCACAAATTTCTGGAAAGGGGTCTACAGCTTTAAAAAAAGGTGCACACTGCTTTTAAAAAAGGTTTGCACACCTTTAAGAAAAGGGTGCACAGCTTTTTGAAAAGGAATACACAGATTTCTGGAAAGGGGTCCAAAGCTTTTAGAAAAGGGTGCACAGCGTTTAAAAAAGGTGTACACAGCTTTTAGAAAAGGGTGCACAGCAAAAAATACGCAGACTTTGGAAAGGAAACCACAGCTTTTAGAAAAGGGTCCACAGCTTTTAAAAAAGGTGTACACAGCTTTTAGAAAAGGGTCCACAGCTTTTAAAACAAGGAGAACATATGTTTTTTTTCGAAAATGATACTAATTTGAATTGTGTAGCTACACTGTTCTTTTTCAAAAGGGGTACGCAGCTTTAAAAATGTTCAATAAATGCCTACCTTCTTCCTTGCCTTATCCAGCTTAATCCTTTTACCACTTCTGCTTGAGCTGTCATCATCACTCATATCCATTTCATCATTATTATCCAAATTTTCATCCATTTGGAATGTCCTCACGTCCTGATTATAAAATACACAGCAAAAATAAAAAGAAATTCACGTAAAAAATTGAAGAATCTCAAACATTTTTTTTTAGATTTTGAAGCTAAATGATTGAATTGTCTCAGCTTTCAACCAGCAAAAGTTAAATTTTGATTACCCGTTCGACAAAAATTTAGCTAAATTTTAAAAATTACTGTTCAATTTTCCTTTGAATCTCGCCTTTTTTGATCTTGCACCCTTCTTACATTACTCACCTGGGTCATTTTTTTTACTGATCTCATGACTTGTTTTTAAAAGCAAAACCTACCCATTTGATGCTTTTGCTGTTAAAAGTGCGAGTTTCGATTGTTTTTAATTACTAGTTTAAGGAACTTAACTGTTCTTGGATTGAAACGGATAGATTCTAATGATACACTGGGATTCTAGATTCATATTTACCGATAACTGCTCGATAAAATTAAGTATTACCAACTATTTTACATTAATCCCCGAGCGGCACAAGGTGGAGGGTGGTCTCCATATGGAATCCATATGAAAGCCACCTCCACTATGTGGGAAGTAAATGGAGGGTTATTTTTTCATCCTTTATATTGATTCCATTTGGATTCCATATGAACTCCGCTTTTTCTTAAATCAAATACCGAAAAACTCGTGCTTTTGAATTTTTAAAAGACAGAGGTCAGATCTTCCTGTAATGGATTGAAATATTGTCGAAAAGCTTTACTGAATCATATTGCTTCATTTCAAGCTTAAAAAAAGCAAAAAAGGATAATTTTTTGTGATTTTGTATGAAATTACATACTTCACAAGCGCATGCAGAAATCACTATTATATGGGGTCGTTTAATTTGTATGAAAATTTTTAATAATTTCTTATGTTTCTCACGCGTGTGATCGAGACTTAGAAATTTCTGTGATTGCGACTTAATTAAATTAAGTTGTAAATTTTTCAATAGTGTTAGTGTACTTTGACTAAGTCCACTAATACAGCTACAAATCTTGATATAAAAATTGCAAAACATAGAAAAACACGTGGAAAATCGTACCAAAAATCCTTTGAAAAAACTTCCATTAAACCTCCGTTTGACTACCACAAATGGATCCTCCATCCTCCATCAAAACCTCTCAAATGACTTCCATTTGGTGTTAATAAATGCACGTCCCACGGAGGATTTTCGGAGCTTTGGCTCCGTCAAAGTTCCATGATAGTAAGGTTTTCGGAAGATTTTCAAATGGAGGGTGGAACATGGAGGCTCCGTATAGCTTCCATATGGAAGGCAAATGGAGCCTTTGTGCCGCTCGGGATCTATGGTTTAAGCACAGACTTAAGATACTTAGATAAGCGAAAAGGCATTTCTCATAAGAGTTAATCAAGTTTTGGATGTAGTGAGTAGCACGGAGTCATAAAATTTGATTAGTGCTTGCCAGAGAATCTACTGAAAGGCTTTGAATAAACCAAAGAGGATCTGAAAGAGACAGAGAGGTTCTGAAAAAGCCAGAAAGGATCTGAGAATACCAGAGAGGATCTAAGAGAGCCTAGAAAGATCTGAGAGAGCCAGAGAAGATCTAAGAAAGCCAGACAGGATCTGAGAAAGTCAGAAAGGATCTGAGAATACCAGAGAGGGTCTAAGAGAGCCTAGAAAGATCTGAGAGAGCCAGAGAAGATCTAAGAGAGCCAGACAGGATCTGAGAAAGCCAGAAAGGATCTGAGAATACCAGAGAGGGTCTAAGAGAGCCTAGAAAGATCTGAGAGAGCCAGAGAAGATCTAAGAGAGCCAGACAGGATCTGAGAAAGCCAAAAAGGATCTGAGAATACCAGAGAGGGTCTAAGAGAGCCTAGAAAAATATGAGAGAGCCAAAGAAGATCTAAGAGAGCCAGACAGGATCTGAGAAAGCCAGAAAGGATCTGAGAATACCAGAGAGGATCAAAGAGAGCCTAGGAAGATCTGAGAGAGCCAGAGAAGATCTAAGAGAGCCAGACAGGATCTGAGAAAGCCAGAAAGGATCTGAGAATACCAGAGAGGGTCTAAGAGAGCCTAGAAAGATCTGAGAGAGCCAGAGAAGATCTAAGAGAGCCAGACAGGATCTGAGAAAGTCAAAAAGGATCTGAAAATACCGGAGAGGGTCTAAGAGAGACTAGAAAGATCTGAGAGAGCCTGAGAGGATCAAATAAAGCCAAAGAGAAACTAAGAGAGTCAAAGAGGATCTGAGAGTGCTTGAATAACTAGTTTTACCCAAAACATGAAGCATTTACCCAACATGAGCAACATTGTCATATTTGTGCATCAAAAAATTTAACCTCAAACCTGAATCCAAAATAAATTGTGATAAACAGCCAATTGTAAAATTAAAAACAACCAAAAAATTTAAAATAAATTTTTTAAAAAAAATCCATGCCTTTTAAAAGCAAAATAAAAATATTTTCCAGCATTTCCTAACATTTGAACCCCAATTAGCCCAACAACATTCGATATCATTTGAAATTTGAACATATTTGATTTAAAAAAATTGAAAATAAAAATTAAATTAATAAATTTTCATACATACCGACGCCTGCTTGCACCACTGGTCTATGTTCTTCCTCTGTGGCTTCGTGAAATGATCCCAGACTTTCTTATGACTTGCCGCATTAAAAACTTTCTCAATTTGATTGACTTTTTTATGATTTTTTTTTTGTTCAAAATATTTTTTTTGTAGGGATTAAATTTTTTTTTCGTTTCATATAAAAGATTTAAACAATTATAAAAATTATGAGATTAATAATCAAAAAAGTATAAAAATGATAAGAATTTGTGAGCAACAGAAAGTTTTTTTTGGAGGTTATGAAATTTTTGGATGGAGGTAGTTTTTTTGTGAATGTAAAAATTGTTGATTTTTTGGAATTTTCAATTATTTTGTTTACGATTTGCTTTATTTTGAGATTTTTGAATATTTTTTTGATTTTAAATTTTTTTATTTTTTTATTTGAAATTTTTTAAATTTTATTTTTTTTTATTTTTTTAAATTTTGTTTTATTGAAAAGAATAAAAATATAAAAGACAACCTAATTTAAGGCTAAAGAGTTAATTACAGTAAGCAAAAATAGTTTTTAATTTAAAATAGTGTAAATTTAAAATTTCAGCTTTTTGATAAGCAACAAAAAGAGACTGAGAATGTTATTTACAAAAAGCTTTTCAAATTTAATGCTTTTTTCCATGAAAATCCAATTCAAATTTATAAAAAAATAACTTAGTGCAGAAAAAAAATGAAAGTTTTTTGAATAAAATAAGATATTTAATAGAAAATAAACTTTACCGTCAATAATTTTGCTTAAAAGAATGCTTAACTTATGGGAATTAGGTTCTAGGGATGATTGGACACCAATTTAATAATGATAGAATGCGTCAGGTATTGAGACTGTTGAATGTTTTGCAATGTTTTCTTTGTACTAACGGTAATATAGACATTTGTGTTCTGGTACTTCAGATTTAATCTAGTACTTAATCAAAACTCTAGAAAATTAACTAGATCTAGTACTATAAATTAATCTGGTACCTAAATTTAGTCGAGTACTACAACTTATTCATATTAATCTAGTACTTCAACTCAATTTAGTACTTAAACTCAATCTAGTACTTAAACGTAATCTAGTACTTCAAAAATCTTGAAAGTCAACAGGATCTAATACTTCAAATGAATCTAGTACCACAATCTAATCTGGTACCTCAAAATAATCTGGTATTGCAATATAATTTATTACTTCGACTTAATCTAGAAATTTAACTTATTCTGGTACTTAAAACCAATCTAGTACCTTAAAAATCTAGAAAGTCAACTGGATCTAATCCTTAAACTTAATCTAATACCTTAATTTAGTCTGGTGCCACAACTTAATCTAGTACCACGATATAATCTGGAACCGCAAAATAATCTAGTTATTTTACTTGATCTAGTACTTTAACTTAATCTAGTACTTAAACTTATTCTAGGACCTCATAAATCAAGTTGATCAAAATCCAGTATCTAACAATATTCTAGACCTTTATGAAATCTAGCATTTAAGTCCATTTTACTTCAAATGTTGCACAATTCTTATCGATGTTTCACAACAGTTTATCAAAAATCATTTTTGGCAATCAACCTGTAGCTTAAAATGTTACAAGATTCAATCAATGTTTTACTACAGAGTGAAATAAAATTCTTAGTCACCCTGTAATCAACCTACACCATTGGTCACCCTGTCCTAATTTTTAAACAATTTTTCAAAAACATTGCAAAACACAAACACGACAACAAAAAAAAATTAAGAGTTTTGTGAGAAAAATAGGAACAAATTTGATTCGACAAATGAGTGTCTCAAATCACCATAGTTAGTGTGCCATGTGCTCTTTCCTGTTCTTCATCAACACATAAAATAGTAACTGATTTTAGTCTAAAATCCAAAACAGACATTTCTACTCACATTGATCAATCATTTTAGTCATTTGTGTCCTGTAATGATTCCTAGCCTCATTCATCTCGTCCTCAAATTGTGTCTTCTCATTGAGCAGTCGTCGAATGTGCGAATTTGCACTTTGGATCATCGAATAAAAAATATTTGAATTTTTCTTCGAGCAATCGCCACGCTCAAGCCACAGAACCAGCGTCTGAACAGCTTTCAAAAAAGTTTCATCATTTTTTATTTTTTCAGCAACATTCGTGGCTTCATGGTCCGTATAATGTGGCACAGCTGGTGGTGATGTTGATCGATTCCGGTCCTTTTCACGATGTCGTTGTTCACGCTGACATTGCCGTTGCTTACATTCATACTCATATTGATCATCTCTAGCCTGTGCATAGTCAACATGTAGTCGACCGGTGTTTGTTGGATCATTATTGTTGCCAATCTTGACACGATATCCACTTAGGTATATGGCACTGTCCACAGATGCCTCAAACACGAATCGAATGTGACAAAAGTTCTTTTTGGACAGCCTTAATGTCGTGATTTCGCCACAACGCTCAAATATCTCATGAATAATTGCTTCTGTGATATTTTCAGGCAATCCACCAACAAAGACAGTCCGACAGCCTGGTGGACGCTCTCTAGTCGATGGTGGTGGTGCATTTGGATTCGGTGGGATTAAACTGCAGCTTGGACAATGAATGACTTCCTTAACTTGACCATTACCTTCATTCTTTTGATTCTCTTGATTCTGTTGCTGTCCTAAATTCTGTGGAAGGTTTAAAATTGTTGGAAACTGCTGGAGACCAAGAAGTGATGGATCCATCATGACACCAGGCAACATCATGAATGACTGAGGAATAATTCCATTAAATACAAGATCTGAATTGTTTCCACTTCCATTCTCACAACCGCCATCCGAATGATCACAATTATTTGATGAATTATCATTTGGATTCTCGAGATCCATGGCTTGAGCTTGCGAGTAGAGAGATTCATTCTTTTGAGATTGTTGTTGCTGCTGTTGCTGTTGTTGATGATGGTGAGGATGATGATGATGTTGTGATTGTTGTTGGTGGGTTTGTGTGGCTGTGAGGAGAGAGTTTTGGAGTTTTGGAAGGAATGAGCTTGTGGTCGGCGCGATGAGATCTAGAAAGAGATTAAAAGTAATTTTTTTGGGTTTATGAATCAGTTCAGAGTTAAGTCTGGTTTTAAAATTGTTTTAGAGATCAAAGCCTTTAAAACTTTGTGGATATGAAGCTAAATTGAGTCATTTAAATATGTTACAAAAAGGCTTGTGACTAATCATCACATGCAAGCTATGATATAGAATGTTTTTGAGTTTGATTGACGTATTAAAGTCAATTCTACTCAGAGTCCAAAGCTCTATCAATCGAAAGTATTTTTTAAAATTAAAATTGATGAGTTTTCAATCGAAATTGACAGTTGTCAACAAGATATTCGCTAAATATAGACATAAATAGCCATCAAAAGTCAAATTTAAACCAAATGCCGACAATTTTAAATTCTGACGAAATTTGCACAAGGGATGTCAGTCTAAGAATTCCATTTGCAAAGATTAACAAACTCAGAAAAAAATATTTTTCTTCGTATTTGCTTTGAATTCCGCCTATTTTTGCTATTATGAACAAACTGTAACCTGAGCATTTCGACCCCTTGTGGTGATTTTGTCAGAATTTCACATCAAATCAAGAACTCAGTTAAGAGCAAATTTTTCATTTAACTAGGAAAAAAAAAAAAAGTTGTCAGATATCTGTGGAAAGGTGTCTTGATGGAGCATGGAAGCTTTTGCCTTTGTCCAGGCAACACCTATGTTGCAATAAAAGTGTGCCTAATCAAAGATTCTTTCGATTTAAGCACTACTAAATGTCTTAAAGTGAAAATCATATAAATTTTACATAACAATTGTCAAAAGCTAGTTGATCAAATCCACACTCTTCGTCAAAACCTCAAAAATTGTCGATTTTAAAAATATTTCTTGACTTAAGTATTAATAATCTGACTAAAATTCACATATATAAGTCAACATATTAAGTTCATCAACTCATTAAAAATTGCCTTGAACACAAAAACAAACTTAGCTATTTGAAATGTTCATACAGAGCACATCGGATTGTATTACAATGTTTTTTTCTGGTATTTTGTTATTAATAATCATTGACTTCCTTGCGAGAATTTTGTCAGAATTTTTATCAACATTTTTTGAGACGGAAGTTGATCATAAATTTGGCAGATTCTTAGCGGATTTTTTTAAAAACTTGTCAGATTCTTAGCGGATTTTTGAAAAATAGAAATTATCAGAAAAAAATGAAAAAAAAGCTAGCCGATATTTGAGTTTCTGACAGAATTTGAACGGAAGTTTGAGTAGAACTTTGAATTTTCTTAAGAAAGTTACAAACATTTTGGCAGATTTTTGGTAGTGATTTGGCAGATTTTCAGCGGAAATGTAAGTTTTTGATCGAATTTCGACAGAATTTTAACGGATTTGTGTGTCGTTGATTCAAATTTGACAGAATCTTAGCAAATCTTTTAAAATCAGCGGATTTCTACATTCGACAAAATTTAAACCAACCATAATTTTAAAAATTCTGACAAAATTCCCACAAGGATCACAACCCACAATCACCACAAAATTGTAACTAAATCTGCATCACACACTTGACTAAACTTCAATCTTCATCTCAAACTCCAACAACATTTCTAGAACACATCATCAAGTCATTAAAATCTAATTTCTACAAATTGACACATCCGCTCCACACTGCAGTCATATTTATAAAGTCTTAGCACGTAACTCACTCTCTCGAACTAGAATTCTTATCTCAAGTGCAGTCGACTTTATGCTATTTTAATTGAAAACAATTTTTGCGGATGAATAAATCAATCGATTTGGCCTCAAAAATTTTTTTTAAAAAATTTCCACATTTTTATTCTTCTTTTTTCACCAAAACAAATGAAAATTTTTCACAATTTTCTCGAGAAAATTTTTTATCTTTGAATTTTTATAGTTTTTGATGATTTTATGGACTTACGCATCGGTGGCATGGCACTCTGCATTGGATTGTAGTTGAATGACATCTTTTTGGTCGATTTTACCACAATTAAAATTGATTTTTCTAATTTTTCACTTAAAATTTACTTCATTGCAAAAATTTTCCTTCCTTTATTTTTCTTGTTGCTCAAAATGATTTTATTTATGTTATTTAGAATATTTTTGCTCGGCTGTTGCTCGGCTGTGTTGGGATTTTGGTTGATGTTAACGGAATTTTGGGATTTGAATGGCTTTTAAGAAGTTAAGTTTGAATTTTTGGTGACCGTTAATTTTTTGTAAGGAAAGCTAGTTTGAATTTTAAAAAACCGTTACGACAACTTAGTCTAATTTAAAAAGTTTCTGAATTTTCACATTTTTGATCTCAAAATTTGTCAATTTTAACATTAAAAAGATTTTAGCCTTAAAAATTCAATTTTTTGCCCATCCATCAATTGCGACTTGGGCAATGCGGACAACAATTTTAAACTTTTTAATTAACTTTTCCACAAAATATTCAATAATTATCCAAAAGACAATCATAAATGAGACAAAAAAGTCATTCAACAATTCTGGGCAATGCCTCATTCATATCCAAAGCACCAACAAAAGCCAAATATCAAAACTCATTTTCATGATGGATCAAATAAAAAGTCAGATAATTGCCGCAGATAATTAAAAAAATCATCAATTTCCGATGAAATCGTGGTTTACAGTTTTTTTTTTGCTTACTTTATTTTATTTCCATAAATGTGTGGCTTAATTCAATTCATCATTCTCGCTATTGTTCAGGTTGTATGTGTCTATGACCCGTAGTAACATACTCTTTATGAGACTGTCTCGTGATTGCTCATTTTTTGTGTGTCAGATTGTTTGATGGTTTTGGATTTTAGCGGCTTTTTAGTGCAATTTTCTGGTAAATTAAAGTTGGTTTTTGAATATTTATGGTAAAATTGTTTGGCTTATTATGGGAAATTTTAGATGATTAAATGGATTTGGGTTGAGGGACGTGATGTTAGTTCTGATTGAGGAAGAACCAAATTTTGAGGTTAGAACTTTTAACTTTTTAAGGTTAGAATTGTAAAAATTTGATGTTAAAATTGTCAAATTTTGAGCTTAAAACTGCCGAATTTGAAGGTTAGAATTGTCAAATTTTGAGGTTAAAATTGTTAAATTTTGAGGTTGGAACCGCCAAATTTTGAGGTTAGAATTGTCAAGTTTTGAGGTTAGAATTGTCAAATTTTGAGGTTAAAGTTGTTAAATTTTGAGGTTAGAACTGCCAAATTTTGAGGTTAGAATTGTCGAATTTTGAGGTTAGAACTGCCAAATTTTGAAGGTAGAACTGCCAAATTTTGAGGTTAGAACTGCCAAATTTTGAAGGTAGAACTGCCAAATTTTGAGGTTAGCACTGCCAACTTTTTAGGTTAGAACTGTTTAAAATTGCTGGAACTGTTAGAAATTCCAACAACAGATCCATATTTCCACACACAATTCAATCTTATTCATACCAAAACCCTCATCCTCAATAGATGTCGCTAAGTGTCCATAAACCAAAATATTCAATCCAATTTCAATCACACTGCGTTGCCACATTTCTCCAATATCACAAATAATCCTCAATCTCATCGGTTATAAGGTATAAAAAATTGTAATCGCATCACACCATAGAAATTTAAGTATCTCATCAAGCACACCTCTCTCGGCTCAGCTTAAAATTCTTTGGCACATGCCAAAAAAAGAAGAGATTTTCTTAATTAACACTCTGCATGCATTAATTGAATTAGTTGAGATTAACACACATTCTCTAGCTCGATCTCATCTATTTCAGGCTGTGCTGTTGCTGTAAGAACAAAAAAAAATGATAATCACCAACAATTATTCATACAAGTGAACCACTCGCTGATGCTGTATTTGGAAAGGCATGAAGAATTGAATTAATGAAGAGATCGATAGACTTGCTAGATGTAATTTAAATGCCATAAGAAAAATGATAATTCTATTGAAATGGCATTAAAGAATTTTGTTCATTTCTAAAATCAAATCTTTTTATATGAAACAATTATTGATTGAATTATTATTTTTTTTTGGAGAAAGAAGTTCGCTTTTTTTGAAAACTGTATGAGCTTTGGTGCTGATCTTCAAAGAGAGGTGCTTGATTAGTTGCTTTGTGGTTGATTGGAGTGTGTCAAGAACAATTGGAATGAGTTTATGAAATATGTTGAAGAATTTGATGATTCTTAATTTGACTTTGCCGAGATGACCGAACTTAACTTTCAGGATTACCAAATATGACTCCCTAGATGACCAAACGTGATTACCGAGATGATTGAATTTGAATAACAAGATGAGCGAACTTAACTCCCGATATGACTAAATTTGACTACCGAGATGACCAAATCTTACTCCTGAGATGACTGAACTTGACTATCGAGATGACTAAACATATGATTAGCGATCTACTATCAATCTACTAGTTTAGAATTCACGTAAATTAAGTTCAGGACACTCACTTTAACCAAAGACCAACACCAAACCACCTTCAAACAACTTAAATAATATTCCTCAATCCAATAATCACCAACAACCAATCCCAATTCAATACGACATGAATTAAAAATAAAAATCATATATTAAAATAAAAATTCAAAAGAAATCATTTAATGAGAAATCAAAAAAGGAAATCTTGAAAAATGAACAATAAAGAATTGTAAAAACATAGCAAAGAATTAAAATCAGTTGAAATGGGAATTAATCAAGAGCGTCATAGAGTGGAGAATTATTCAATCACATTATAATCTCATTCTTTATTCATTTACACATAAACATAAACAACAATCGTGAAGATATTCATTTAAAAGATATTTTCTTCTTGGTGCTTTAAGTACTCGTGGTACTTTACATATTGAAATTGTCTAAGCATAAAGAGATACAAGTTTGGGTGGACTTTTGAGGTGTGCGGGATGGATAGCGTGTTTGTGGAGTAAGTTGTGGGTTTCGCATCTTTTTTTTGCATCCTTACTTTTTTCTGCTGTATTCTGCATCTTGAGTTCTTGAATCTTCAAGATTTAAGTTGTTTTTGCTTCCGTTTTCTGTATCTTCAGCGTTTGTAACTTTGAATTTTTTTTCTGCATCTTTATTTTTTGCTACTGTTTGCTGCATCTTCAGCACATATTCAGTTCCTGCATCTTAAATTTACGAATCTCTTTTCTGCGTAAATCTTTTCCTTCTTATTCCTGCATCTTCAGCTTTCGCATCTGTGTTTTGCTTTTCTTTTCTGCATCATCAGTTTTTGCTTCTGTTTTCTGTATCTTCAGTTTTTGCTTCCGTTTTATGCATCTTCAGTTTTTACTTCTTTTTTTCTGTATTTTGCATTTTTTTATCATCAGTTTCTGTCTCTATTTTCTGCATTTTCAGTTTTTTCTTCCGTCTTCTGCATCTTCACTTTTTGCCTCTCTTTTCTGCATCTTCAGTTTTTGCCTCTCCTTTCTGCATTTTCATTTTTGCTTCCGTTTTCTGCATCATCAGTTTTTGCTTCCGTTTTCTGCATCTTTAGTTTTTACTTCTTTTTTCTGCATCTTCACTTTTCGCATATGTATTTTGCATCTTCACTTTTTGCCTCTCTTTTCTGCGTCTCTTTTCAGCATTTTCAGTTTTTTGCTTCCGTCTTCTGCATCTTCACTTTTTGCCTCTCTTTTCTGCATCTTCACTTTTTGCCTCTCTTTTCTGCATCTTCACTTTTTGCCTTTCTTTTCTGCGTCTCTTTTCAGCATTTTCAGTTTTTTGCTTCCGTCTTCTGCATCTTCACTTTTTGCCTCTCTTTTCTGCATCTTTGGTTTCTGCATCTCTTTTTGGAATCCTGAATCCATACTTTAATAAATTTCCTAACCTCAAAAACGAGCTCAACTTAAACTTTACATAAAAGACTCTTCTAAGTATGAAATCAACATAAATACATATATTCGAACATCTAACGAAATTAAATGATGAAAAGTAAGAAAAAAAAAATAAAGAATTAGAAATTCAATTGAGATTCTTAATTAATCATCTTAAGATGAATTGGAAATTCTCGATCTTTTTTAAGACGAATTCCATTCAATTATTTCATTTTTTTATCGAGTCTATTGAAATATAATTTAAATTTCTATTTTTGAACGTATGAAACATCTGAGATGATTACTCGGAATTTAATTTGAATATTTTTTTTTTGATGTTGTTTTGTTATTGTCAATTAGACAATGCGGTGTGAGGCTTTAATATAGTTTTGAAAGCTAATTTTTGATTCAATTGATTTAATTCAGGCACTTGGTGCAACATAGCCTCCGAATTTTGACCAATAACCCCACACAGCTACTCAAAATTGTCAACTTAACCGAGCATCATCAGAAATAATCGATTAAAAAAATTTATTCATAAATGAGCTGAAAAGAGAAACGACAGAAATAATTTTAATTCTGATGAAACAGACTCTAAAGAGCGGAAACTCCACACCCTTCGTGGATGATGTTTTATTTTAATTTGTATAATTTTTTTTTTCATTCTTTTTTTCATATAAACAGATGAGATTTTTTCAGCTTTTGTAGAATTTAAATTATTTTTATTTTAGCGCGGTTTACTTGTGTCTTTTGAGAGTGTTTTTGGTAGTGATGATGAGATTTGGGGCTATGCCGAAGAGAATGGTGTAGGATTGATATCTATGATGGAAGTATCATCTACTCATGGATAGGGTTGAGGCATTAGTAGAATATCCGTGCAATTTTTGAATTTATCCGAACACTTTTTGAGGTTATCTTAATAATTTTGAGGTTATCCGGGTCTTTTTGAGGATATTCAAACCTGTTATGAGGTTTTGCGAGTCATTTTGAGGTCCTCTTAATCATTTTGAAGTTTTTGGAGTGATTTTGAGGTTATCTTGGTCATTTTTGAGGTTATCCGAGATATTTGAGGTAATCCAAGTCAATTTGAGGTTATCCGAGTCATTTTTGAGGCTGTCCGAGTAATTTTTGAGGTTATCCGAGTCATATTTTAGGTTATCTTAACCATTTTGAGGTTATTTGAGTCATCTTTAGGTTATCTTGGTAATTTTGAGGTTATCTTGGTCATTTTGAGGTCATCGGAGTCATTTTGAAAA